GATTCCGGGCGTCGACGCCTCGCGCACTTACTCCAACCAGTTTATTGAAATTTTCGAGGTGTTCGGTATTGAGGCTGCCCGCACAGCTGTGCTTCGTGAATTGACCCTCGTGCTTGCCTTTGACGGTTCTTACGTTAACCACCGTCACTTGGCTCTGCTGGTCGATGTCATGACTGTTCGTGGTTATCTGACTCCTGTTACTCGTCATGGTATCAACCGTGCCGATAATGGTGCCCTCATGCGTTGTTCGTTCGAAGAGACAGTTGAAATTCTGCTCGAGGCTGCTGCGTTCGGAGAGCTCGACGATTGCCGCGGTGTGTCCGAGAACCTGATCCTTGGACAGATGGCCCCCGCCGGCACGGGTGAGTTCGACGTCTACCTGGACCAGAGCTTGCTCAACACCGTGGTGTCCAACAATGCACGCTACGGCCTTATGGGTGCGGTCGGCGCGAAGGATGCCATCATTTCCGACGGTGCTGCCACTCAGTACGATACTGGTTCTCCCATGGCCAGCTCCCCGTACATGGCTGGTGGGGACCCCAATTCGACGTTCTCCCCTATGCACCAGATTGGCCAGGAGCCAACTGGAGGTCTCACCGAGTACCAGGCTACCGCTAGTACCTTTGGTGGATTCAGTCCCGCGGCTCGCAGCCCCGGCGGCTACTCTCCAACAAGTCCCTTCAATACTAGCCCGACATCTCCTGGATACTCTCCGTCTTCAAGCTATTCACCGACCTCTCCTGGCATCGGCATGACCAGCCCGCGCATGATGACCTCTCCTGGTTTCTCGCCTGCCAGCCCAACGTTCCAACCCACGTCTCCGGCCTACTCGCCGACGTCGCCTGCCTACGGCCAAGCGTCGCCCACCTCTCCTTCATACTCTCCAACTTCGCCTGGGTTCTCGCCGACGTCGCCTAACTATAGTCCGACTTCCCCCAGCTTTAGTCCGGCCTCGCCGGCGTTCAGTCCGACTTCGCCGAGCTACAGTCCCACCAGCCCTGCGATTGGTGGTGCTCGGCACCTGTCCCCAACATCCCCTACCTCTCCTAAGTACACACCAACTTCGCCTGGTTGGTCTCCTACGAGCCCCCAGTCATACTCGCCGACTTCTCCCAATTTCTCTGGCTCCCCGACGTCGCCTACCTCTCCAGCTTACAGCCCGACATCCCCGGCGTACAGCCCTACGTCGCCGCGCCAGTGAACATGGTATGAAGATGGCTTGCCTCTCTCAGGCTCGTGTTCTACACCTGTACCATCATCAACTTGTTCCTCAACCACTAAACAAAAATGATCTTTTCGCGCTACACATCTCGGAAATGATTGATAATTTTTTCTTTTCACGATATCGGGGATCGTCTCCCATTCATTGTATCTGTTTACTCTTTTTTTTTTTAAACCAATTAACCAACAACACGTGCGTTTGGTTTCAGCCGCCATCGTTTTCAGATTGCTTTGCTTTTCCCGGCGCACTACCCCCCATCGTGCATGCGAAGACCGCACACACTTCGATCAGAACCGAGGACACTGTCCATGGATACTGGAGATAGGAGCATGGACTTTGCTTGCCATTTGGGGAATTGCCCAAATCCTTTTTATTGCATGGAAAGCGCACCCGGGATGTATTTTGACTGCTGCTTTCCGTTTTGTACACACCCTCCAGAGGGGTCGAGTAGATTCCAACAATGTTTATGAAATTCCAAATTCTTTTTTCTGTTCCTCGTACTGGCTAGAAAAGCAAGGATGTCTATAGATTAGATTCTCACCGCTTTATACTAGATACCTAGGTAGTCTAAAGCAGTTTAGGTCATGAAGGGCTTCCGCCCTCATATCATGTACAGATTGAAGAACGTCTTGAATGAGACAGACAAGAACACTAAATTGGAACAATGTACGTAGAAATATGCCTGCACATAGAAAGCATACTATCGTATGGAGTACGCAGGTACGATAAGTATACGATGTAGTGATTGGCCCTCGGCAAAATGAAGCTCCGTCAAGCCAAGTGGCCCGTACTCTGGAACTACATCATGTCACGATTCCCAACTCTGTCGCCTTTGTGATTCACGTTGCTCTGAGAGTCGCAATGTGCTTCACACTCCTACATTACACCAGTATTTTGCAGGCATTATGAGGACGCCGCTCTCACACTTTCTATCGGCCCTGCGTAAGTCTGCCCGCACCTGCTGGACCGAAACAGAAGCTGACACCCCTTTCCAGTGCTATTGCAGACATGTGCGGCTGGGCCTGGTCAACCTCTCGCTGACCAAACAGCGTCCGGGGCTATCGAGCACGATGCAGATCACGAATTTACGTTCCAGACAGGGGAAGCAGAGCCGCGACGCATGACTCGTGAGTAGACAGCCTCCGCCTTATCGACCGACACTTGGTACTGATTGCCTTTATCGTCTGATAATAGAACGTGTTGAGAATGCCTGGGATATCCTGCGCACAATCAAGGACCCAGTCCTACAATCCGACAAGTCGAGAGGATTACTAGGGACTGCCGTCTACTATGGCCGCCAAACGGTCCGACTGCTATTCTTGAATGGCCCTTCGACCGAAAAACCCGAGCGGAAACTGAACAAACATCTTGCAGGAGCAGTGGAGGAGCTGAGAACAGCTGCAGACGAGGACCGAGACCCGGACGCGATGTTCTTGTTAGCGGAAATGAACTTCTATGGCAACTTCTCCCATCCCCGCGATTTCAAAGAGGCCTTCCGCTGGTACCATGAACTGGCATGGCTGGACGGAAACAATACAGCGCAGAACATGGTCGGGTTCATGTATGCGACGGGGATCGGTGGTGCGGTTGAACCGGACCAGGCAAAGGCCCTGATGTACCATGAGTTTGCGGCGGAAGCAGGGAACATCCGTTCAGAGATGACACTTGCGTATCGATACCACACTGGCATTGGAACACCGAAGGATTGTGACCACGCGATCCATTACTACAAGAAGGTTGCGGATAAGGCGATCGAGTACTACCGCTCAGGCCCTCCCGGTGGCAGGGCTATGGTTCGAGAATCTTATCGTTGGGCGGATGAAGAAGGTGGCGTATACGGTCCAGGAGCCAGTGTGTCGAGCTCGGGTCAAAACGCGCGGGACCCTAGTAATGCTACTCCTGAGGCTAGCGTGGAAGATATTCTGGAGTACTTGGACCTCATGTCCCGGAAGGGTGAACTGAAGGCTACATACACCCTCGGCAAGATGAATTTCGAGGGCGCCCGGGGCTTGCCGCGGAATTTCCGACGGGCTATGAGGTATTTCAAGGTCGTTACCAAGAAATATTGGAACAAGGATGGGTCCGTCAACTCGAATCCCCCTGCAGGGCTGGATAAGTTGGCGTCCAAGGCTGCAGGCCATATTGGTCTGATGTACCTTCGCGGAGAGGGGGTCGAACAACACTACCCGACTGCGCTCACATGGTTCCGGAGGGGTATTGCAAACGGGGACTCTCTGTGTCAGCATTGGATGGGTCTGATGTATCTCAAGGGCTATGGTGTTCCCCAGGATGGCTTCAAGGCATCCCACTACTTCAAAGCAGCAGCAGAGCAGGATTCCCCAGCCTCAGAATCGCGATTGGGCGCTCTATTCTTGGATCAAGGAGATGTGGCTACCGCAACACGTTACTTCGAGCTTGCCGCCCGCTGGGGGTGGATGGAGGCATACTACTACCTAGCGGAGATGGCCAACTTCGGTATTGGCAGACAGCGGCACTGTGGCGTGGCCGCCGCCTACTATAAAATGGTAGCCGAAAAAGCGGAGATCGTCCACTCAGCCTTTGTCGAGGCAAACGCCGCTTACGAATCTGGTGACAAGGAGGCTGCACTCATCCCATCGATGATGGCAGCAGAGCAGGGCTATGAGAATGCACAGGCAAATGTGGCCTATCTTCTTGATGAGCATCGCTCTGTGCTATCGCTCAGTTCTATCCTTCCATGGGCACAGAAGGCTCGGTCCTCCTTGATGCACAATGCGCGACTGGCGTTGATTTACTGGACCCGCTCTTCGAAGCAAGCCAACATCGACTCCTTGGTCAAGATGGGTGACTACTACCTGTCTGGCACGGGTACACCTGTCGACGCTGAGAAGGCCTCAACTTGTTACCATAATGCCGCTGAAGCCCACCACAGTGCACAGGGCTATTGGAATCTGGGCTGGATGCATGAGAATGGCGTGGCAGTAGATCAGGATTTCCACATGGCCAAGCGGTATTATGACCTGGCTCTTGACCTCAGCCCGGAAGCGTATCTGCCAGTGAAGCTTAGCTTGATCAAACTGCGGATTCGAGGATACTGGAATCGCATCACCAACGGAAACATTAACCCTATCCATGAGGAAGAAGGTAAGCTGCTCCCACTTACCCTGTGAAAGCAATCGTGTCTTTCTAGTTTCTTACTTACATTTATTCCTAGACTCGAAGCCCCGTCGTACCTTCAAGGAATGGATCAAGGCCTTCATCGAGAACGACGAGGAGGGCTACTACGAAGACCTTTACGAACTACAACGGGGAGACGATGATGAATATCGTGGCTTGGAATCCGAAGGCCACGAGGATGGCTACTATGAAGACCTAGACCTCGATATCGACGAGGGAATCCTGGAGGGCCTCCTCATTGTAGGATTGGCTGCTGCGCTGTTGGTTTTGGTTTACTTCCGTCAACAGCAGCAGCGCAACCGACAGAATGAGAACGCCAATGCCAATGCTAATGCTAATGCCAACGCGCAGAATGGAAACGGGAACGCCGACGACCGTGGATTATTTCCTCAGCCTGGTGATCCTGCTTTTGGGCAATGGGTGGCAGGAGGGGTTGGTCATTAAGGAGATTACAGTGTATGCATTCCAGCGTGACCTTTTGTAGATAAAATCCTTTGCTTATCGATAAGACTTGCATCTCCGCATCTCGCCCTGGCTACTCCAACTTTTTAATCTTTCTTCCTCTTTCTTCCTCTTTCTTAAATCCATCGCACGTTTGAGGTCTGTATCCGATTGATGCACCATGGACAAGCCATCTAGTAAACGTCGTCGCATCGACACAGCTACTGCTCTCTCAAAGCCGTTCAAGTCCCCGCTACGCAGACCTGCACCAACAAACACAGACGACATCCCATCTGAGTCTGTCGCACCTAGGACTCTGGCGGACACACGAGTCCCAGAGAGTGTTACCAAACCCAAGTCCAACCCAATATCAGGTCCACCAGATCAGACAACAACTCCAGTACCTCCTAAGCCAAAACGCATACTGCAGATGTTTACCCCATTCCCCCTAGAATCATGGAAAACAACCGATCCAGAGATCCTAGAAGTACAGAAACAGTACCGGGAGATCAAGTCAAAGGTCGACGCACTCATCACCGAACTCGAAATAGCAACTCAGGCCCACAACCTCGAGACCAATCCCAGATACATTGAGATACCAACTCTCATCACCAAGTGGCGGCTTGCCAGCCAGGATGCCGCCGATGAGGTATTTGTCGGTGCCAAGGAAAGGTTTAATCGTATTGGGGGCATGGCGGCTTGGAGAGAACGGTCGAAGCGTGATGCGACTCGCTGGGAGTTTGATGAGGAGAATCACGAGCGGGAGCACATTGATGAGTATGATGGAGATGTTGATAACTACGGCGCTGAGAATTCTCCTGATCGTCCACTGAAAAACAATAACGGAGAGGAGGAAAGCCAGGATGAGGTACGTATTGTGATATTATTGTGGTCTTGGGTGGAATCTGTATGCTGACATTGTTACTTAGGAGTTCACGATGGAGTTCATGCTCAAGGCTCTACATGTTGATCCTAAGTTGATTGGATATGATACCAAGGCTCAAAAATGGATCAAAAACTGATTGTCACTGCTTGACTTCTTGATCCAGTGGGGTTCTCTATGGGCTGGGGAGTATGAATGCTTTATGAATGTTATGACCGATGCGATGACTATGGACTCTACGGTTGCCCTGACTTGAGAATCTTCTCCTATGATCTCTTACAATGTTATATTTCTTAACAGGGAACAGCCTTTATAATTAACAAATCATTTCTTATCAAAATCGCATAGACCTTCCTATTACAGCCACTTAATAAAGAACTGATATCGCACCGCAGATCAACCCCGTTATCGCGAGTCTCCCCGCATTTCCTCTTTCCCTGTATGTTCCCAATTGCTGCATGTCGCGCCCTCTGAAGCATAGAGAAATAGCATGCGATCGCTGTTTCCGACACAAGCGGAAATGTGACCATGCGAAACCTTCCTGTGGCGAATGTCGTCGTAAGGGTGCTGAATGCTTGCCTGCACGGTCTCGGAAAACGGGAGATAACATCACAATCCCGCTGGAATACTTGAAACAGCTCGAGAACCGTCTCGCGGAGTTGGACCGTGTTACAGAAGCACAAACATGTGATGCTGGAGTTCAGACGGACTTTGACGACCTAGAACACGGTCGCAATCATCCAGGCAATGATACAGACTACCTGATGGTCGATCAGAATAGTAGCGGAGCAGATAATGACGGTTCTCTCATGCTTCTATCAGACTTGCAACACAGCAGCCAAAGATCACCTCAAACATCTCCATTATCTTTCTCGCCTGGCGCATTTTCTTTATTTCCGGAGACGACATTCGACGTTCCATGGGTTGACTTGGCGCCCTCATACCCTTTGACCGATGATGACTCCCCTTGGCTCAAAGAGCTCTACACAAATGTGTATTTCTCCGTGACACACCGCGAATGGCCCTTCTTGAACGAAGCAGCTTGGAAATCATGGCATGCCGAAGCAATCCTAGATGGACAGGAAGAATGGAAAGCCTTCTTTCTCCAGATGGTATATGCTATTGGTGCATCGCTTTGCAATACTTTACAGCGAGACCCCTCGCACTCCGTCCGGTCAAGGGAGTATTATGCCTCGGCCATGAGGTACTATCCATATGTTGTCGGGCATTCGTCTATGGTCTTACAAATCCAAGCTTCACTGTTCATGATACTCTATGCTATGCACTCTCCTTCTTCCGAGGATATCACAACGATCGTGTCTTCTGTGTTACCTTTTTGTACAGCTGCCATGACAGAGATCCGGAAGCACGTATCGATATGCGGCGACAATGGGTCCATGACCGAGTCTAGCGAAGTTTTGTCTGAGAACATGTTCATTACGTGCTATATGCTCAATGAAGTCATTGTCTCGGGGTGGGATCGACCAGTATCAGCTGCCTACAAGGTCGTTGACGATGATGTGAGTTCTCTCCAGATGCGTCCTAATATCTTTCGCGATCACTAATTCTCAACTTAGATGTGTGCTCTGGGAGATACCCTCCAACCAACTCTAAGTACAAACCCCGCCATAAGACATTTATTCCGATTACGCAAGATCCAAGCCAGGATCAGAAGATCGCGTGAGAACAGGGCCCGAAACCCCCTCGCCAGACATGGTAAAGGCTATAACTCCTCATTCAAGTCTGCTCTTGACAGATGGCGACAAGAGATTCCACACTATGAATCAGACAATGACCAACACGGCTTCCTCCATCCTACATGGATGCGAAAGCTGTATGTTTACAGCCTCTTGATCCTGATAGATGAGAAACGTGACTTCATCGAGATGGACGGAACAGAGGAAATTCTCGCGACGATTGCGGAAGTCTGTCTGAATTTCCGACTCTTACAGGAAGAAGGACATGTGATGTGCTATACCTGGTCTGCAGTATGTGTCAAGGCCCAGTTTCCCCCTTTCAATCGCGGTAGACTCGAGATGATATGGCGTGACTAATAATCAATTCATCGGTAGCTTGTGTTCCAATTCCGAGCAGGAATCATGATGCTTTACATTGTCTGGGCGACAACCCCCATCACTGATATCCAGGATCAGCAGCGTATTAGACAGAACACCCATCAGGCCATTGCTACATGTGCAGCTAACTTGGCTGGTTTCGTCGACCGATGGAAGGATGCAAGGCCGTATATGAATGTGTTTGAGTTCATAAGGCACAAAATCATGTGGAATGCTGGCACATTTGAAGTCAATTCTAGTGCCCCGGTATCACTGGAAGAGGCTGAATTACACTTGGAGGAGTTGAAAAAGAAGTATTTACACCGAGCTGTCTTGGGGATGATTGAAGATATGATGTATGGGAGGAGGTTACCTCAGGACTTGTTAGACGATGACTTCAAAGAGGTATTGTGAATATGAGAGATTTGTACTTATCTCAGGAGCGCTATATAATCGAGTAATGGAACGAAGATTGTATTTCTTTTTGGCGACACTAGGTCTTCATAATAAGATCAACTTGCCCGTTGACGAGCCATCCTTAGTACGAGCTGTGATAACCACGATAGTCTGAGTTAAAGCGGGACTCGACCACCTCTTCCAGGATTGATCACGGTCCGATGCGGGATAGGAAGTTGTCACAAACCAGCTATCTCCATCTATGGCCGGCTTGACCACTTGACCGTTGATATGGCATTCCATAGTCTCCAGCTGGGAGTTCTTGGGTACCACCGATCCCTGGACCCGGACCACAACCGTGCAGTCGTGAATCTCCTTCACTTGAGTCTCTACCACTAACTCAAAGATCGATCGAGAAGCCCACGGCACAAGGTCTTGACCACCCTTGATGAAATCAGAGTCAAGAGCAGGCACGAGCGGTGGCTGAACACGGCCCTTCATCGCCATCTCAAAAGCAAAGCCATACTTGAGCAGATTGTTATCATCATATGCCTTCCCAGCGAAGGTAAGATTGACCGGCATGCCCGTATCATCCATGATACCCATAGGAACAGAGATAGTAGGCACACCAAGATGGCGTATAGGTCTATTCCCATTGGAGTATTTGACGCCATTACTCCACGCAAACAGCGAAGCCGTCTCATCGCAGTCCGCATTAGCAGCCCCGATGTCGCCATTAGCCGGGAAAACCACAGCATCAAGCCCAAGCCCATCCATCCAGCCCTCAAAAGTCTCCTTGCGCGCATTCTCGAGAGCCTGGATTCCCTGCTGAATACCAGGGACGTCGAAAATAGACGCCGGCCTCCGGTGCGGGTATTCAACCATCTCATGCCACCGCAGCGCATTAGCCGCATCAGGTGCACCCTTCAGAGACCCCGGCGCAAGTGGGAAGATAGTCGTCGGATCGACTTGAGCAAGAGTGTCAAGACCCTTTTGGCCGTTGTTAATCAGGAAGTCATCCCATATATGCGCGACGAGATCGCTCCGCTCTAATGCAGACCAGCCTTCTGGTAGTCCTGCGACGGTGACGAGCTGGCCCTTGTCTGCGTTTGATTCGTAGGTTGTCACGAGTGGGAAGTCTGTTTCGATTACCTCCGCACCGCAGGACTCGAGGACTTTTCTGGCGTTTTGCCATAGCCTGATTATGGAGGGTCGGGTATTGACTTTGCTAACTGGGGATAGAGAAGAGTCATCGCCTCCGATGTACATTGACGGTACACCAACGCGCTTCCCGCGCAAGGATGTGCCATCTTGTAATTCTGAAAAGGACTGCGGTCGGAGTGTATTGATTGAAGGGAGGGTGATGAATTTCTGTTCCTGGTAGAAATCTCCTAACGGGGCTTCATCGGACACAGCCAGAACATCTAGGACATGGAACATATCTGCCATAGTCCTGGTGTGAGGCACTAGGACATCACAGGTCAAGTAGAGTGGCCAGACACCACGGAGAGGAAGAAGGCCTTTCGAGGGTGTGTATGCAACAACGGCATTATTTGATGCCGGCGAGCGACCCGAAGAAACAGTCTCGCTGCCTAGAGAAAAAGCGCAGAAGTTGGCCGCCGTTGCGACAGCCGATCCATTCGATGAACCGGAAGCATACGCTGCAGCCAGATACGCAGTATTATAGGGACTTTCAGCACGCCCATAACACCCACGTTGCATACCGCCGTATGCCATGGCGGGCATGTTCGTCCGGCCGAGAAGCACGGCGCCGGCCTCGCGGAGAAGTTGAATACAGGCAGCATCCTCGTTAGCAATGAGGGTTTCAAATGCAGGCGATCCGCTGGCAACAGTCATGCCCTTAACTTTGATACTGTCTTTTGCGAGGTAGGGGATACCCTCCAATGGACGCGGTGGCAGACCTGCTGCGCATCGGGCATCGGAAGCGGCTGCTTCGTCGAGGGCGGATGGGTTTAGGATTGGGATGGCAGCAAGCTTTAGATTGCTTGCGTCGTAGACGCTGATTCGTCGTAGGTATCGTGACACTAAGTCCACACTAGAGAGCAATCCCGAAGAAAGTGCGGATTGGAGCTCGGAGATACTGGCGTCCAGTAGCGAGAAGTCTTGGGATTGATAAGCCATGCCGATGAGGGGTATTGGCTTCTTTGAAATGCAAATGAAATGCGAGTAATATAATTCATAGAGTGAATTCCTCGAGTTATCTAGTGAGGGCCAAGTATATGACCCCGTAAAGCGGACAATAGTCCGCCTTCCCCACACTTTTGTATGCGGACTATTGGCCGCTCCTCCTATCTCGACCGACTTGGCCAGAGATAACCTTCGCAGATAAAGAAATAACCTTGGAATGATGCTTATCTCCTTGGCGTTGATAAGTTATATTCACGCCGGGGTTACATATAATACCCAGGGGGCGCTGGACGTTGATACAGGAACTTCTCAGTTCTGTTCAACCTGACCCCCACTTATAATGAACGCCAACGACAAAAAAGTGGACCAGTCCACTGCGGAGAAAGATGTTGCACTCGGCGAGACTCACGATATCGGAGCGAATCTGTACCTGGAGGCGGAGCAGCTGACTGCCGAGGAGCTGGAGACCGAGGGCGCCAAAGTGCTGAGGATTATCGACTGGAGGATTATGCCGATAGTGCGTGATCGCTCTGATATTTCGATGAGTGTTTTATCTGACAGTCTGACGTGTTTTAGCTTTATTTGACCTATGTTATTCAATTCCTCGGTATGCAAAGGCATTTCGCCCTTGCTATTCTACAACTAACATGCCTGTATAGACAAACTATCACTTAATTATGCGTCGGCATACTCCTTAATCCCAGACCTCGGCCTTGAAGGCCAACGATATTCTTGGGTCGCAGCGATTTTCAATTTCGGTTATCTATTCTGGGCCCTCCCAGCCAACCTCCTAATCCAGCGATTGCCAATCGCAAAGTATATGGGCGGTATGCTTCTGATCTGGAGCGTACTCGTTATTGCACACGTTGGAGCGAAAAACTATGCAGGAATGCTAGTATTGAGATTTCTCCTGGGCATGGCAGAGGCCGGAGTCAGTCCGTGCAGTGAGTAGCCCACAGCACAAACCGAAGATATGGAAAGCACTTACATATTTCCTAGTGATGAACCTTACATCAATGTTCTACAAGCGCTCTGAACAACCGTTACGTATGGCTATCTGGCTCAGCGCAAATGGCATGGCTACAATGGTAGGAGCACTACTAGGATTCGGCCTCGGCCATTCGCACAACACCGCGCTCCATAGCTGGCAGTTAATCTTTCTAACCATCGGACTACTCAACTTCCTCTGCGGCTGTATCTTCCTCTGGCTCATGCCCGACTCACCCAGCTCTGCCCGCTTCCTAACCCATCGACAGCGCGTGATCGCCGTGCAGCGCGTCGCCGAGAACATGATCGGTGTGAAGACCCGGGACATCAAACCACGCCAGGCTCTGGAGATTCTATACGATGTTAGAGTCCTCTGCTGCGCGGGAATCGGCATCGCCTGCGGTGTGATCAACGGCGGCTCATCGAATTTTGCATCAGCCTTGATCAAAGGCTTTGGCTTCAGTGAGATCTACACTACCCTCCTCCAACTACCTACGGGTGCAATCGAAGCAGTGGTTGTTCCAATCTGTGGCATAATCGCTACATATGTTAAAGATTCACGTTGCATCGTTCTTGCAGTCGTCTGTCTGATCCCCTTCGGTGGTCTTCTCGGTATCCGCTTCACCAGCCTTGACCATCCCTGGACTTTAGTCGGATGCACCTGGCTGCAGTATATCATCGGTGCACCTGTCATTATTTCATGGAATTTGCTTGCCACCAATGTTGCCGGCCACACTAAGCGTGCTGTCGCTAATGGTCTCTGGTTCTCGCTCTATGCGGCCGGTAATGTTGCCGGTGCGAATATCTTCTTCGCTAATGAGGCCCCGCGCTATTACTCGGGTCTGCTGGGCCTGTTAATTTGCTATGCGGGCATAATTGTTCTTGCATGTGTAGCATATATGTCAATGAAATGGGAGAATGGAAGGAGAGATGCTGCAATGGTTGCGGCTGATACTGATGAGACGCTAGAGGATGCTACCTCTCAGGCTATCTTGGATGGATTTAAGGATTTGACGGATATGGAGTCCAAGCATTTTAGGTATGCGCTTTGAGCTTAATCTCGTGTTTTAGATTTAATATAAGAATTATTTTGGGAGACCGGTAGAAAATGACCAATAATTATCTAGGAGTAGAAGATGTCTGACAATACTATGACATAGAACTGAAAGGGCATCCCGCTTGTAAATGAAGACCATTAAAGACTTCCAATAATTCTCGTATTATATAATTCCGGCTCGCCGACTACTAACTGCCTTCTGGTCCCTTCCGGGTATCAAACCCTCCTATCACCATATCCAGCCACTTGACGAGTGTCTAAGATCTTTCGCCACGTCGGGAATGTCCTTGCACCGGTCCAAGCTCTTTAGGGCCAGGGAAAATCTCGAGGAATTGCGGTCATTCCATCCCCATCTGCCGAACTACTAGACTTTATGCACATCCGAAATGCTCGCAATTGATGCACCGCTCGCCGTATGTCCCTGGCTGTGCAACACCATCATCCCTCGATTTGTTGGGTTACTATAGGCTTTTAGTATCGGCGATATTGATATGGATTGTGCTGTGTACCTGATGGAAATGAGACTTGGACGGTATTGAGAGATGGGGCCACTTCACGCCCGCGGGGTAGAAGATCTGTCTCTAACTGCTGTAGGAAGACCCCAACCTGCCGGTACACCGGTACAAGCTCATGCACGTTGGCGTAGCAGTAGAGGTACACCACCTTCGTACCGCTTTCGAGATATCGACGTTTAATGAGTTTTTTGGAGCTGATCTCCTTCAAGAGGGCACTGTGGTCCACGCAGCGCCCTGAAACACTCTTGACACTTGATCCAGCGTACAGGCCGCTGGGGACCTTATGGCCCTGTTTAGCGATCAACTGTACATCTGTCACCTCAAGCTGCTGATCACTGGCTTTTTTGAAGCAGATCAGGTAGACGCTTGGACACAACACCATGGTCGATGCAGCGCCTATAAACACTTTGCATACTCAAGACCTCGGCCAAGTGCTACGCCGCCGTACAACTTCTCTTCAATTATCTCAACAGAGATTCCGGGTAGGCGACGACAACGTGGTGAATCTATCAACAAGTTGCAACTCATCGACACTCCATCGAACGTTGTAGGGAATCACAGCCATGCACTGAAGTGTCCAGCACACACTATCCGACTTTCGCAGGAACGTTGTTTTGTTATAGTTGATTAGAAAGCGTACTTGGGCTCTTCCGCGGCAGCTATTTTGCTCTCTAGCCTAAGTATGTTTTAGTTAGTGCGTCCACCAATGTTATAGGTTGGAGGCCTAACCAGCAACCTTCGGAAGTCCCATTCGATACCTTGACCAAGGTGCGAGGTGTTTCACTCAACTGATGCGTTCCCACACAATGAAACCTTAGCTTCTCCGATGACTTAGGCTTTGCCGGCCTGATTGGGAATGGCAAAGTCAGGGATATTGCTGGATTGGCCACCTGGGGTCATTCAACAGTTGAACAGCTCTTATAAGTCTCCTTTTGACTTCAGTTTCCGCTGGAGATGAAGATATGCTCTCTCGTAGTGGTTGGGTGCGACTGGCCCCGAAATCTGAAGAATTCTTGAATGACTTCCCAAGACCATTGATAGAAAATCCGGGAATGTGGCTGAGGTAGGCTCTTACCAATCCATGATGAAGGTAGGAAAAAAGACCTGAGAAATTCAGTTCCAGTGTGTAAGATTTGAAATATAAGTAATCAAATGAGAGCTGTGGACTGTAATTGGGTAAAAGAGTGAAGCGAAGGCAAGTGAAAGAGATAATTGGAAGAGGATGAAGGAAGGTGAGTCCTTTAAATAGAGGCTTCTAGACTTAGCAAATAAAAAGAGTGTTTGCTCTGGACCGGCTTTCATGGAGACTACCTAGGTAGATATTGTACCTCATATGCGCGTTATGTTATACATGTACACATTATATACTTATACTACCTACCTAGGTAGGTACCTAGGTATATCCATCGATGTTGGTGTGTCTCTTTGTCGGCCCGAAGCCGAAGAGCCCAGGTGCGGGGCCGCTGCTGATCCTCAGGCCCCAACGTTGAGAGCTACTTGGCACTGGCATGCACACTAAGCGTTGCAGACCAAGCGTGTTATAATCCGGCATTCACATGCCAGGTGGCATCTGTCATTTCAAGGTTTGAACTGAGGTATCCTGCAAACACACTGCCTGGAACCTACATGAACACGCCTCTACAGTGGCATTCCATGACGCACACCGGTAATTCGTCAAATCAGTAATATGGATTTTTTTTCACTCGGCAGAGTTTGCGTCATATGTGACAGAGTTGATGAATCAGCAGCATGTCCCGGGGCTGGCGATTGCAATCATACACAATGATCAAATTGCCTCTGCGGGATATGGACATGCGAGCCTGGATCCCGAAATACCTTGCACAGCAGATACGCTGTTTGACATTGCATCATCTGCTAAATCACTCACTGCTGCGGCGGTGGGACTACTAGTCGACGATAATGACATGTTCCCGGATATTCAGTACGATGCTGTAATGTCGACTCTTCTTCCCGAGGACTTTGTTATGTCTGGAGAAGGATACACAGAAGGAGTCACCGTGGAAGACATCTTAAGTCATAGAAGTGGAATGCCTAGGTGAGCTAATATTTTCAAATTTCATGTTTGAGTTCAAGACTAATGATATTGCGCCAGCCATGACGATTCGTATATGAGTGTGCGAGCGGCGAAGCCAGACAATGCTCGATCCATTACGAGAAACCTCAGGAATCTCCCTGTCGCTGCTCCCATTCGATCAAAGTATATTTACTGCAACATGATGTATACAGTGGCAACCCACCTTGTGGAAGTCAAGACCGGACAGGGTTTTGGTACATTCCTCGAAGAGCGATTTTTCAAGCCTCTGGACATGGCCTCAACTACTCTTCAACCCAGCAGCACACGATCAAAAGGATTCGAATCCCGCATGGCAACTGGCTACACATGGAAAAGAGCCGACTCAATATATCGCGGGTTAGAAAATCCAGACTGCCCAGAAGGCCAAGGTGCAGGGTCTGTCATTTCGAGCGCGAACGACTTGATCAAATTTGTCAAGGCTTTTATGAATCGCGAAGATCCGATCAATAAAAATGTTTATGAAGGGCTCACTCGCCTGCGAACTTTTGTGAATCCAAACCCAGGAAGACGGAAGCGGCACACCTCACCGGTAGCATATGCTGCTGGCCTGGATATCTACTTTTACAAGGGACATATGGTTGTCGGCCATAATGGGGTATTCTCTGGATTCGGAAGTCGCTTCTTCTTTCTCCCTGATTTCTCATTCGGTGCCGTGATCATGGGAAACTCAGATGGGGCAAATGGCGTTGCGACGACCCTTGCCCAAAAGCTAATTGATAATCTCCTTGGAGTAACGGACGAAAGACCTCATGATAGCGAAAGCAAATCCACACGACCTGTTGAAATTCGCGGTCCAAAACCCCAGGCCGAGGCGAAAGATGCAAATCCAATGAGTAAGAACCAGGGAAAGAAGGAGAAGAAAAAGCAGGAAAAGAAAACCCAAGCGAAGAAAAGTCAAGGTATCCAGAAGGGCCAAGTGAATGAACGAAGACCAAAAAGGAATACTCCACAGCCACCGACAATGCCTCTCAGTGCTTACGCTGGCAACTACTGGAATCCTGGGTATCATAACTTACTGGTTCAAATCAGAGATGATGCCCTCTTCATCGATGCTACAGATCGCTCAATGGGGTTTACCTTGAAATTCGAACATGTGTCCGATGACCGAAAGTTCGATGCTCATCTTACTGATTGGCTCGATGGCAGTGATGACATCGTAAAAGCGGAGTTTGTAATAGAAGATGCTCAAGTCACAAGGTTGGGTCTGCAGTTGGAGGAAATGCTCAAGGGAATGATCTGGTTCGAGAAGAAGGATGGAGTACGCAGCGGTGCGGCCAGGGTTCAAAACCCGCTTTGAATTCCAAGGTTACTATTACATATGCCTTAATAATCAAAGTACTTTGATTCTACTGACGTTGTAGGGTTGTAAAGATATGAAGCTTTTTCCTCCCATACAAATGTATGCATATCCAATTTTCTAGGAGATTTACCAGCTGTCTCTAGTTTAAAAATGAAGCTTTTTTCTATTAATTCCTAGTTATAAATCTATATATTTACCTAACCCTCTATCTCTACTAGCTCCGCCGAGGTATTATAACCAAAGATCTAGCTCGCTTCCGCCTCGCCGGCTCTATATCCATTAACTCTATACCTACTAAAGTAGCCGCTTTAATAGGTACTAGACTTAGTATAAAATTATATAGAAAGGAGCCTTATCCTCCTATAGATTAGCTTCGATAAAAACGTATCTTTATACTGCTTTATAACTATGTAGAGCTTCTTTAAACTAAAAAGCTTACAGATAAGCTCCTTTACAGTACTATTAAAGAAAGCATCTAGTATCAATAACTTGAAGACATTGATCAATGTCTGCCAGTGGACTTCAGAGTCAAGCAATCTACTAATGCAGGGTATGTATATGCCAGAAGGTCAAACTTGAAAATGAGATCGAAGATTAGTACTAGTACGGGCATATGAGTCAACAGGTTCAAAGTTGATTGATTTCAAAATATTATATAGTGTAAATGGGGGGGGGAAAACAAAAGAAACAAAAGCAACGCTGAAGTACTGAGTGATGATACCAAGACTAAGTATATAACATTATTGTTCATCAAACATCAACATCCCGAAGAGAGCGATTCGTCAACAGCGTCAGTTGTGAGAACCAAGTCGGATTCCCCAAAACATCCTCAACACTAAGGACATATCCTTGCCTCTCCATGTGAGCTGATATCAGACTAGCGCTCACCAAGTCACCACCAAGATCAAAAATTGTCTCGCCAGCTTTCATCTCAGGACTAAGGCGGCAATTAAAAGTGTCACTCCACGCACTCTCAAGCGCCCATTCCATTTCAGTCGGGATAATGCTAGCAACCATCAACTGTTCATTTGTTGGGATTGCACTGAGAGGCTTCTCCGAGGGCAGCAATGTGGTTGTCCGCAGATATCTGATCTGGTCGGGAGATAACAAAGGCATGTCCATGACATTGCAGAAAACGACGATAGCCTCCGTCAGTTTTGCAGCCAGCAGTTCACCGTCACACTCAGATACCACGCCAGGTGCGAAGTCCAGCTCAATTCGGAACATGTTGTGATCGGGCTCAGAAGTGGTAAACCATCCAACAGTGCTCGACATGTCAATTTCGTCAGACCAGGCTTCGCGACCGTGGCCTTCATTGAATATGGTCAGGCTGTTGCGGTGGGGAAACGTCCGAAGGAATGCATCCCAAACAGCCGATAAAAGGATCTCTACTGGCTCCGTGTTCATGGCTTTGTTTGCCTTGCCCAGTAGTACAGCCGTAGTTTCTCGATCAATGGTAACCGATCGGAGCCTGTGGTCTGCCAAGCAGTTGGGCGTGTCGTGTGTATATTTCCAAAACTCGAGATTGTTATGGACGCCGTCAGTCGACAGCAAGGTGTTGAGGCTTCAAAGTGGAAGATACAGCCCGCTCAGCTTGCAGCCTGCTCCACACTTGGAAGGGTAGAGCGGCCGTTAGGGAATGGCCGTTGAGAATAGTCTCCAGATCATCTAAGATAATCCGCCAGGAGACCAAATCGGTAACCAAATGATGAGCTATCATGACCAGATGCTGCTGCTGGCCTAGTAAGCAAATATCAACTGAGAAGACAGGACCTTTCTCTATGTCAATCTCTCGGTGCCGCTCTTGGACTAACGATGCAGAGGGAGGAAATGAGTATTGCGGAAGGTATATTACACCAATCTTCACTAGAAGGTGTCAAAAGCGCCCTGGCGGTGGCCAAAATTGTTGATCCGAAAAACAGCCTCGCGGATATCCTCGACAATTGGCTAGGATGGATGATATTCACCCCGTATAGGCTATAGTACATTCTAAGATCTCGATCTGGGGAATATTCCTAGGAGAGGGAAGACTGTGTGCGATTCCATAGTTGAGGAAACCCTAACCAGAATCCACCATCCCGAGGGACAGGGTGGGCCGGAGCCATGGGCTCGTACAACGGACCGGGCCGTTGTATGTGGATATAGTACGAGTTGGTACCGCGATGAAACAAACACTGACATACAATGGACTGCATTGAACCGTAAATGGCATCCTGGATGGCCCAGACGGTGGCCGCCTACTGATGTTCCGGGCGCCAATAATTCTGGAGAGTCTGGACGCTCCGACATATACCCCTTAGCCAATGCGCCCACCGTGGTAGGATCGCACACCCCCATGAGATAGATGTCAGGTTATGGGATGGCCTGTTCACTTAGAAATACGTTTGTCACCTACATCTTTAGCGAGCGAATAAAAATTTTAAGTACACGTCGATAATCTTGTAGATATAGGCTTAGTGGCAAATTTAAATGGAAACGCGTCTAGTGCCAAGCTCATGGCTAGTGCTTGACTTGCGATCAAGTTGCGCGGAAGCTTTGAACCAGCGCTTAAGCTTTGCAATTTCTTCCTGCGCAGACATCTCAACCTCGATTGCCCGATTCTCGATGTCATTCAGACACTGTTGCGCTTGTTCTTCTATTTTATCCTTGTGTTTTTGCACTTCTTCTTCCAGGTCCTTCATATAGTCATTGGCCGCATTGCATACTTCGGCCTTGCCATCCTCGACCTGTTCATCGACATCGGCTGCGTTTGTTCTGTGTTGGTCAAGGATCTGATCATAGCACTCGTTCACGGCCCTATCGACAATCTCGTCATTGACATATCGTTTGAGGCGGCGCTCAATCTCGTCATTAACATATTGTTCGAGACGGCGCTCAACCATCTCGACATTGGCAAATCTGACTTTTTCAGACTCGGATGGCAGGTCGCTCTCTTCTATGGCCAGCAGATGTCGCCGTCCTGATTGAATTAATACTTTGCGTATCTCCTCATCGGAAACTCCACGGAGCGCATGTACAAGATGCGCAAGTTTGTTGCGCTTTATGTGGCCAGGAGGGGAAGTAAGCGTGAAGTCAGTTGGGCGGATTGAGGAGGGTGACGAGGAGCAAGTACTCGGTGTATTGGCTTCGGTGGGAGAGCCTAGCGCTTCAGGGGATGTAGGGCCTAGCCGTTCAGGGGATGTAAGGACCTGTCGCTTTCGTGTTTTATCGTCAGGTGACTTTGACCATGGGACTAGACATTATTAATGAGCTCTTCAACGACAAAAGGACGATAAGAAGGTGACAATATACCCGTGCGCCTTTTTCCAATCACTTGTTCAAAATGCTTGCAATATACGGGTGGATCCCCCTGCTCGGACACGCATTCCTCAGGATATGGGGGTGGATTTGGATTGAGCCACCGAGCAAAGACACCACAATCTCTCTCTACCACACCATGTCGAGCGTTCTCGAAAACTTCTGCCTGAAGACTTCGTAGAGCATTCGAGAAAATTTCCAGCTGATCAAGTTCTTCGTCCGCAAATTGTCGTTGGGAAATGTATAAATATAGAGATGTGGAATGACAAATTTTCGCAAACGCATCAAAATCCAAGTCTCCTTGATTGGCTGGTATTAGAGACTCCAACCCAGCGGGACAAAGAACAATGCCGGTCTTCTCAAGTGTCAGACTCAGTGTTGAAACGGCCGAAACCTTTTTGACACGCGCCGGGAGTATGGAAAACAAACCAGGCGGACAGAGGCGGTTGTTGCTTTTCCGGGCTAATGTACACTCTTTGACTACTCCTGGGGATATGTTCAAGGTCAGCGATGATCTGCCGCTTAGGTTAGCGAGATCCGCCGTAATTTTAAGGGAGATAGATCCTTGGTTGGCCTTTTTATCATGGCCAATACGAAGGACAGCAAAACAAGAAACATCGAAATCGGGTGTATAAACAAGTATTGCCTTCTCGAAAACCCAGGCCTGGTTTGGTGATGTGGTGGCCATCGTGTTGTTACAATATTCGCTGGATTAAAAAGGAAATCCCTCAATGAATCGAGTAGCCCTCCCACCCGGGCTTTCGAATAGTGTTGAGCAGCCCTGACTCGCGTAAAATGTCGGATGAATAATGATAACAAGAAGATGAGAGTAAAGTGGTAAAACTATTGCGGTCTGGTCCCGAGTACGTGCCCAATCCGAAGTCCACAGGTGAAATCGGAGAGTCCAGTGTAGCCACAGGAATGACAGGACAGGAGACGAGAACGGCAAAGAGTAATACTTCCTTTACAGGACGATGATGTTGGAAGGAGAAGGTGAAGAAGAAATTCCCAGAGAGAATGGGAAAAGGGGAGGCTGGGGCTTGGCGGGTTTGGAAGTATGATCACGTGATCAGCTTCCGGACTCCGGGCCTGAACGGAGCTCGGATTTCATATACAGCTTTCTCGAAAGCTCGCTGAATCCCTTGGACACTAGACTCACCAATAAATCATGCTCGCCAATTGTGCAAGCAACACGGAGCTTCTCTGGGAGCCCTGGATTATCCTTGCCCAGACTAGCATCCATGGATGCTTTGGGGGCGAGATTCTGAAGCCGGCACTAATACCAAATGGCAAACTCGGGAAATTGGGTGAAAAAGAGGACCCTTTGATTCATCCCCGAAATAGGGATGAGCCCTCAGCTATGTGTCGTTTGTGTATCAAATATCCCGTTTAACTAGATCTCCCTCCCTGTTGCTGCCTGATTGGTCAGGCCTTTATTTGCTAGCTGAGCGTTTTGTTTGTCAGACGCAAGGTGTGGCCACCTGGGCAGGTGACAGGCCGAATATACCTTGCTTTTGATTTGAACGATCTTTTCTTCTTCCTCTCTCTCTCTCTCTTGGTGTAGCCTCTATCCCTATTTAGACCCGAGAATAGGTGGAGGCAACGCATGATAGCTTGACTGGATCTTGCGCCTCTTGATCATTCCTGATTCGTCTTTTTCAGTTCGTGCCATAACTAGGCCTTGCATTTCTTACCAAAATTAGACCCTGGTCTCTCTTGGCAGTTTTCAAAAAGCACATTCGATGCGCCTTCTTCCTTTGTGGTCACCAAACTCACACGCCCCGCTTGCTGGATAACTCCACGTTATTCCTTCGGCATCGACAGACGCTCACCTGAAATGGCTGGCACAGCTGATGACAGGGCAGACTTCGGCGACTATGTGAAAAATTGGGACGAGGAGACTGACCTCGAAGTGCTCGTCGAGCCAAGTATGACATAAAGGAAACTCAACATGTCCTCTATCCCATTTATCTTGGAGAAATACTCAATGAGAGATACCTGGTTGAACATAAACTGGGTTTTGGCGGTGGCTCTACTGTGTGGATGGCCCGTGACCTTCGGGATAAGAAGGATGTAGCCCTCAAAGTCATGGCTTTAGGGGAATGGAGTGACAACGAAGCCCGCATGCAGGATGAAATCATTCAGAACGTCCAGGATACCTCTCACCTTATGACATATCTCGGCACTTTTCTGGTCCCTGGAAACCAGTGTCATCATAGGGTGCTAGTGTTCCCCTTGATGGGTCCATGCCTTAACACTCTTATGTTGAGCAAGAGCAAGATATCTATGGCCACTCGTATGTCCGCCGCTCGGCAGTTGCTAGAGGTGCTGGAAAACCTACACAATGCTGGAATTGTACATCGCGGTAAGTGACACCTGACTCTTACTCTATCTTCCTATTTTTGTCCGTATTTTAATATTCTACAGATTTGAATGAGAGAAACTGTATGTGGGGGATGGCGCCTCTCAATCACGATAGGGGTGCTAAATATGAAGCGCTTGGGCGGCCAATTAAGCAAATCATACAATGGGTCGAGCTTTGGAAGCAAGGAGAGCTTGTTGGGCCCGTCGAAATTCCCGAGAACTTACGCACAGATGAATTCTATCTCGGTGACTTCGCTCTGGCGAAGAAACTTGGTGACCCTATAACTCAACCTGGGCGTCCGCCTTCGCAACTCTGCTCCCCAGATCGCCTTCATGGGAAAGAGCCAAGTTTTGCCTGCGATATGTGGAGTTATATGATTATCTTCGCCGTGCTTTACCTTGGATTTGCGCCTTTCCATAGTGCCTTCAAGGGTGGAGTAATAACCAGTATCACCGAAACTTTAGGACCACTACCTAAGGAGTGGAAGGGCCTTTATGATGGAGCCCTTGATTCTTGGTACGATCAGGATCAAACGCCTGATCCAAAACACGACCTTGCATCAAAAATTGTATACTATCGCCCTGACGCTGATCCAGTTGAGCTACAACTTGTGCACGCTATGATGTCTAAAGTATTTACCTACAATCCAGAGGAACGTCTGACCGCGACGCAGCTTTTGCGGGTCCTTCATTCAGGGCTATTATGGACAAATACGGTTGTTGGTATTCCATTGTTTTGTCTCGTGTGCTGCAAGGTCGATTCTCTCTTGGTTGGTTTGCGAATTCTTTTTATCTTTTCTTTTTCTTCAGATGTCTTTTTCCTGTTCCAAAAATGCGAATACTAGCTTTTTCCGCCAAGGACTACGGCGTAGAACATTTTTGGGCTTTTTCTTTTGGGACGCCTTTTACTGTAGCACCATTTGCTCGAATAAAGGTGACCCGAATGGGCTTTTGATGTATGGTCTCTGGGACGGTGGTAATTACGTATGGGTGTATTGGGACACCATAGAAAACAGGAAAATCTTCACTAGGCGTAGAGCATGATCTTCCAAAATCATAATGCGAATAGCTTGAAATCAAGTGGCTCTTCTAGCAACAACCACAGTTTCATATGGCGTTAACCCGATCTGATCTGGAAAACTCAATTCAGAGAATGGAGATTGAGAGAACCGCGGCTCATAGTCTGACCAATCGACCCGAGGCCCGAGCCAGACAATGAAATCAACAGCCTCACCATGCGTATCAATGTATTTGGTGATGAGTTTTGGATCGCGTGGGTAGACAAACATCCACGCTGCAGCCTGTTGGGCGGCAGACCAAAGGCCCCAGCCTCCGCCGACGACATTCATATCTTCTTCGGCAATATACCGATTAATAGTGGAATCCACCTCAACACCCTCGATGGACACATTTTGGTCGCAATGGACGATCAGACCTTCGAGAAGGCCAGATCCGCTGCCGATTGAGAGGGTGAAGGCGGGCTTTTTTGGGAGGAGAGAGGCAAGGTAGGTGATCAAAGTGCTGGAGATGGCCAAGCAGCAGTCTGGAAATCTTTTGGGTGCTGGCGAAAGCTGCTTGGAGATTTGAGATATATCCATTTCTTCACCGCCCAATTCAGCGAGCGGAGTGATGATGAGCAATCACAGCAATGAAGTCTTTGAAAGTACTTCCATAAGCATTGGGAAATGGGATATAACAGAATGATCCCCTAGGATAGTGTGACGGAAGAAGGATAGCGCCCGTTAGGACGCAGTGCCAGACCCACTGTACTCCCTTGACCCAAGCGAGCACGTGAGCGACGGGTTGGATGGTTGCGCAAAAGGTGGATGAATGGCTTAAATTGGCGTCTGTTCTGTTGAGGTGAGTGATTTTTCGCTTAAAAAATCTGCCTGACCCGGGGACAATCTCAAAATCCAGTGGACTTCGGTGATGATTTATCTTGCACATCAACAACCCCACTTCCGTCGCAGGCAAATCCTTTGCGGCTCGTCCATAGGTGCTAGGCCGCACAATCTGAACACAAAGGTTATGACTGTCGGGGCGAATATGGCGGAAGTTTGGAAAGGCGCAGCCTCCAGTGAGTCAACGATAAAAGTGGTGAACGAGCGCATAAGAGTGTCCAGGTATGTCATCGCTGCCATCATTATGGCAGTACAAGAGAATAACGTATCGATTAAGAAAACTAATTTGACAGACTTGGACGCTTTGAAGGCCTTAGATTATAAACTCACTATTAGTATTGGAATTGCTTCTGTCTAAATAATCCCTGCTCGACCAGTTTCAGTTAGCTTAGGAGAATGTCTATCAATTATATTTTTATATACGTAGAGCCCTTGGAGATGGGCAGAGATATGTGTACAAGTCTACATATGTAAGTTATGTTCTTCCACTCATTCACGGATCACCAATCCATAAAACGACACAGCTGACGGGACGATCATTCCCAGTACGATGGCCTGGAATATCCTAGTCTCATCCCACCCAGCCATATTCGCAAACATTCGGGCCAAAGTACCACCAACAACCCCCATCCATACGACAAAGAACCCCAGATCTTTCCATCGTTTCCAAGTCTTCCCTCTCTTGGACATTTCGCTGATTGAGCGCATGGATGTACCCCATCCATCCTGGAACACCGTAATCAAGCTCCATAGATGAATTATAGGGAGAGGGATATAGTAGAATAAGATGCCCGGTACGATCCAGAGCCAACCACCACTGCGAACTGTGGCAGGGTTGCGGAAGAAGTTGTACACCATTGAATAGGCAACGCGAAGGCCAAGGTCGGACAAGTTGAGATAAGTCAAGGAACGGCCAGTGATCAGGTAGTACAGGACAGAGGTAAATAAAAGCAAAGGTCCGGCCTCCCGTTTGAAGGCAGCCCATAAGAAGAGCGGGTTGGTGAGCACATATATTCGAGGCTGCTGCAATGCTTCAATATGACCAGCGCGACCCCAGCGGACTTGTTGCATGAGCCAGCGGCTCAAGGTTGTTGGCGTGTCAGTTGCAGCCAAGGTGTCCGACGCAAATGTAACGGTCCACCCGCGCAGGATCAGATTGGTGGTGAGATGGCGATCCTCGTTGACGATCATTCGATGTCCCATCACAGTCTGCGTATACCAGGGGTACAAGATGGCCGGGAGCGCGGATACTCGGAATGCTGTACTGGGACCGGACTGGCAGTCACTAATTCCAGAGGCAAGTGCGGTTGACCGGCTCACATAAACCTCAGACCAGTAGACCATACCGGCGAGTTTGGTCGTTATAGTCTCATTTTCATTATGCAAGATCAATCCCGCGCTTCCACCGCCGACATGAGGGTCACCAGCGATGGTTCCAATAGTGCCTCGCAATGTGTCAGGCAAAATGATGGTGTCCGAATCGGAAGACCACATATATTCGATACCAAGCATCTCGGAGATCACAATGGAGAAAATGAAAGCTGAAAACATGATTCCCTTCTTGTGGAGATGCGGCTGGAAAAGGCATAGCCTTGTGACACCACCGACCTCACCAAGATCAAGGTCATGCTCGGATAGGATCCCGCGTGCGATCTGGCAGCAGTGGGAAATGGTAGCTTCCATGTAAACCTGCGGGGCCTGAGCGTTACCGTCGACCTTGCAGAGCTTCTCAAAGGTCTTCATGGCAACTTCGCCCAGGGGCTCATCGATGTGAATCACGGCTGATTTCATTGGAAAAGCCTGTATGTCACGTCAGTGTGCTATGTGTAGACTATCGTAGGGCTGCTTACTCCTTGGAAAACGTCAACCATCTCCATGTCCGGAGTATCGTCACCATCAACGCCCACTAGGACGAATCGGCATTCCGCCGCAGTTTTGTAACTGTCTAGAGCACGAGTAAACAGATCTGGGTCTTCACGATATCCGACAATGGTAGCCATGCATTCCGTGGTTTTTTTGGTGTCGGTGAGTCGGTAACTAGCTTTCTCCGGGTCTTGGACAGCTCGCGACGGGGCTTTCAGTCGCCGTCGTCGACTCTCGTTCGCAAAGCGATTGTATTCCGCCGAAAAGATCGTGATCAATATATCCAACGTCGCTGGATGTCGTGTAAAGTGTGTAACGAACAAGTAAAGTGGAATCACAAGAATGCATCCCAAAAGATTGAGAAATTGGCGGAAGAGAGAGACATCAGGACCACGTTTCTGGAACATGGATACCCCAGTATACAAATTTTTTTCAGTCGATGAGTCCATAATAATGGCACTCACTTAGGGCGGATAGTAACGAATGACGAACGAAGATTGCGAGAAAGAAAAATGATGAAAGAGTCGAAAGAATGGAAGAGCCTGAGACTAGAAATAAACCTCGACAAATGGGGAACGAGCACGATCAAGCTTGACTCTTTAGAAGCTAACACCAGGTGCCGCCAACTTCATTCATGGAAAGGGCTCTATGGCATTGGGAGCCTGTCTAGAGCTATATTTGCCGTGCTTATTCAAGCCAGCTTTGTCTCAGTCAGGGACCTTTTTATGGAAATTCGGAGTCCGATGTGGAGTTGAAACCATTACTACTATGTAGTTTCGGGACAGCAAATAGAACTCGCTCTTTGAGACTGGTTGTAATGCTCAACTCGTCGAATATTCCTCTGAAACATCGGAGAGTCAAATTATGGGGTTTGTGAAGTTCCATCGCAGAATGAAGTTGAGATCGACGTCAGATAAAGTTCGACAGGATTTCGTGCAGATCATTCGGCCACTCAAAAAACGGCTGCATATTCCCCTTGAGACGGGAATATTGCTACCTAGATACTCTGTACTCCATATACGGGCTAATTTTGTCTACCACGTTATAGTTATGTCTTAAAGATCCATGGATACATCCTGTCAATCACGTCATTAGGAAGACATTCATTTCACCTGGTTTTTAACTGATTCTATTCTCTCCAAGCTTCAATCTTACTTTGTTCCTACATAACTGCCATCAAACTCCCCGCCGCTTCGACACTATTGCACTTTCCCTAGAAGAAGCCACTTGTTGTTGAATAATGATCCTAGCACTATGAAATCAGTACCTCTTTAGTACCTACATAGCTCCAGCTGGTCGACGTGTTCGAGGCAAGTAATTCGGTATATACTGCAGTAAGTTTAGGGGGGTGGAGAGATAAAGGAACCTGTTTGGATGATAGGGTTAGGTATACTATCTCGGGTTCCAACTCGGGAATCCTCGAAAAGGTGTTCCGGGATCTGACTACATATATCATCCCAGCTCCTCATTTATCGCCTCCACATGTTTATATTCTCTATTGGAGACCTTCATTTTGAGATATCTTTATTAGCGCACCGTTAGGATTCGAGATTCTATTTACCTACCTAGGTACATACCTAGGTAACCTTGGGGTTGGAACGTAGGATTGATTACATAAGTGGCTAGCCGAACCTTCCTCGGGACTTCCCGTCCCGTCGGGGCCTTGAAACCTTTTTCCCCGAGCTGATTCGCCGATGCCTACATATATGAAGGAAAAGATCTGCAAGAACATTGTAAGGTTGAAAGGATTCAAGACAGCCCCATATATACGAGGTTTTAAAGGAGGCTTAGACTTTAGTACTAAGCAGATGAGGAAAGTGATTAATAACCTTGGAATTTGGGCTCAGAAGCGGAGTTTTGCCATCCAGTGTCAATAGTTTGAGAATTTCCCTCCCTCCATGATTTCCTTCACAAGCTTATAGTGGGTCTTGCGTGTCTCACCTATATCCGGACATTCAACGGACTTCCACTAACTCGATTAGCCATGGTGCCAAGGCTTACCGGGCTTCTGCCATGAGTGGTTTATGTACATGAAACCTGGAGGCAACCCGGTCATATCCTCCAAGACCGGAGAAGATCTGTGGAGTATTTCTGTTGCATTGGTTTTTCTTTCTAGGAGACACGCCGACGTTCCGGTCAAGTTGGAATACGACGATAGCGGAACCTCTTCTTCTGCAACGATGCGCCACTCATTCCAGAAGGATAACCGCATAGTCCCATTAGGGATTATGCTGTTGACATGCATTTTCTTTGTCTATCATTTTGTATTGGTTCGTGGGTCATTGGACGGGCTCCATATGACAGCTGCTCCAAATACATTCTTTGAATCCTCGCAGCATGGAAATTTGGATTCTGATGCTACCGCCAACCATGCGGGTGAAGCCGTTGACGAGCCCGTTCACAATGACATTATTTCCCCCGGTTCCTCCACTAAGCCGCCACTTATATCTTTATCTCCAAGTCATTCGCCGAACGGGCTAACCACCGATGATGTGGTTCTCATGTTCAAAACCGGCGCTACCGTTTTGTGGAAACGTGTGCCCATCCATATGGCCACTACATTCTCGTCTCACCGCATCAACTCCGACAACCTTCTTCTTTACTCGGACTATCCTGAAACCATCGGGAAATGGGAATTCATTGACGTTCTTTCTAATTCCTCCGAGCAAGTGCGAAAGTCAGCGTCCTTCCAGCTATACCTCCAGCAAGAGGACTACGAGTCACGTCAGAACTATGCTGAGCTCTCCAACTTGCCCGGTGACGATAGCGGCCCTAGTGGAGGATGGAAGCTTGACAAATACAAATTTCTGCCTATGTTTCAGCACGCAGGGCGCAACAAGCCTAATGCCAAATGGTACATATTTATGGAAGACGATTCCTACATCTTCCTCCCCAATCTCCTCCGCCATTTGGACAAATTCAACCATAAGGATCCGTGGTACCTGGGAAGTCTGGCCTGGAAGCATGGTGACTACTTCGCTCATGGTGGCTCTGGCATTGCGCTGTCCAGGGGCGCTTGGGAGAAGAGTTTCGGTAAAGACCCACGTATCGTGCAGAAGTTCGAAAAGTTCACCGAGGAGCATGGCTGCGGCGATCATGTCCTAGGCCATGCGCTGCATGAATACGGTGTTGAGTTCGGCGAGACCACCGACGATGATCGATTCCGGTATGGGTTTAACAGCGAAGCTCACTGGAGCGCATGGTATGAGCGCAACAACTGGTGCAAGCCAGTGTATAGCTGGCATCACACCCACGGAAAAGATGTTGCCAGATACTACGAAATCGAGCAGTCTTGGGACTTTGAGAAGGTCAGTACTATCAGGAGTGATTGTTATCATTCGCAAGTTCAGAAAGGCTAATAGACAACAGGGCCCTTTGAGATATCGTGACATCTACGAGGCGCTAATCGCCCCGTATCTGCATCCCCGTGCAGAATGGTGGGATAACGGGGCGAGTCAGTACGAGATCGAATCTGGCATGGCTGCACATGCCGAGCCACCAAGCTCGGTCAAATCAACTGAGACATGGCGTAGCGCCTGGATGTCGGTGGACGCATGCGAGGCTGCCTGTATATCATGGGCTGACTGCGTACAGTGGGCCTCCTACGATGACCGCTGTAAGATGGACAGCAGGATTTCCTTGGGCAGCGGCATTCCGGAAGGCGACTCCAGGCGACAGACCAGCCTGCCTTGGGTTAGCGGATGGCTGCCACGTCGGCTTGAAAACTGGTCATGCTAAGAATAACCACAAGACTGAGTTGGAGTATATTATTATTGAACATAAAAGATACGATAATCGTAAAAAAAGACAAATATAGTTCCCTCAACAATTTCTTAGTTTCAATCGTAGTAACCGTTTCGGAAGCTTCCACTTACAAAGAAAAGGTTCCAGAATTGAAGGATTTCCCCATGTGATTGTGGATATCGACAGAAATTATGATAGTCGGATCCTGCGTTGGAAAAATTGGGTCATCTAAGACAGCGCTAGCCTGTTACATATGTAGCTTATGGCCAAAAATGTACATTTTGTGATCGGACAGTGCTATATACATTCCCGCTACGGAGTACTCAGCTTAGTGACGAAGATGAAGTGATATCTCCCATCCTCCTTTTGACCAAGCACCATGGACCGCACTGCCTGGCTCGATGGCCTTCGAGGCATCGCAGCGGCCATCGTCGCGACGGATCACTATTTTATGGGCGCCGTCTTAGACAATGCCTTCCTCTCATTCTGGGCCGATCCGCCCGCAGAAAACCGCAGGCTAATCCAATTGCCTCCGATTCGCATCATTTTCGCAGCGCACGCCATGGTCCCTTTCTTCCTGGTGATCTCGGGCTATGCAATCTCTATTAACCTTCTACAACTTCGCAACCGCGACGACGGCGATTTCGTGCGTCGTCTGTCCTCTGCAGTCAGCAGGCGGATCTTCCGCATTTATCTACCTGTATTTGCTATCGCCGTCATATCACAGGTTCTCTATTTCTGTAATATATACCAATGGGCCTTCAGTGAGGAGGTTGTTCAGGGTAGGAAGCCTTGGACTTCACCATGGTCACACATCACCTACGTCTTCCGCTATATGCTGGACATCATGAACATTATCAATGCTCAATGGAACGGTGGCTTGAATGGCCAGCTTTGGACGATGACTATGGAATTCCGCGGCTCCTGCATCGTCTATATTATGGTCTTGGGACTGGCGTTCTGGAGGCCGCAGCGCCGACGCATAGCCCTTGGAGCCCTGATCAGCTACTGGTTCTACTTTGGTGTCTGGGATGTTTCTGCCTTTCTAGCTGGCCTCTACTTGGCTGAGACGCGGCTTCTCTCCGAGGCGAACTCAACAGACGAAGAATTCAAATCGTCCCATCAGTCTCCGAAAGGTTGGGTGTCAAAGTTGAAATTCATTAATTTCCTTGCAGTCTGGAACTATTCCTGCTTCCTTTTTGGATTTTATCTAGTCTGCCTTAGCGACGATGGTGGATTGCCACCTGGCTATCGGTTTCTCAAACTTGTCGAGTCGTCACGCTGGGAAGGCAATTGGGAAGTTCTCAGCAGATGCTGGAAGACAGTAGGCTCTGTGCTCGTGGTCTATGCCATAAGCGAACTGCCACTTCTACAACGGTTATTCAACGCAAGGCCTATACAGTATCTGGGCAAGATATCCTTCTCGCTCTACCTGGTGCACCAATCTGTTTATCACCTTGTGCGTGATCCTGTGATAAATATCTTGTGGTATATCGCAACCAGAGAGCAATATCCTGACACGGAGGACACTAGCAAACCTGGAGGGCCTTTGGCGTTTACATGGTTGGCAGGTTACGTGGTCATGTCTGCAATCAATTTGTATACTGCACATCTGTACACAAAGTATGTTGATGAGCGCTGCGTGAGGATGGCAAAAAGGATCGACGAGTGGCTTACTCGGCCATGACCAATTTGTATTTATGCATTATATTAATAGGGCTAAATTTGAAAATAATATTTCTTGCGATATATACCACAAGACTACCCAGCTTTGAACGAATTCATCTATTTGAAAGGGATCATACCCTGCACCTACGTAGAAGCAATTGAATGTTGAAGTAATGGAGGAAATTGGATATTTATATCCTAACCTTGGAAGTACTTTAAGACTGGCTAATAAGTAGAAACGACAGGGACCACATACAGACGTGCGTATATTGACTTGACAAAGCATTCTAATAATTCTTTACAAGATGAAGACACGCAGAGAGAGATGGTAAAGGTTGGAATCTTAGGAATTTTGGGATACTAACTCCATTATGTACTAGTAGACATGTAGTTAGGACCTGCTTGTGCGGCCTGAATGCGGGCAACGTGCCATGCATGGATTTTCAATAATAGTCAGCTAGCATCATGCTGTATGAAAGAAGAGGAAATAACAGGATGGTCCCGATGTCATACTATAACTAAGGCTCGTGTGATAGATTGTGTTAAACTTCGCCATTTATCCTGAAGGGCAGGAATGCCTGTATATGCAGATCTACCTAGTCGACCCAATTTTGTTTCACTTGAAGCCCTTCTCTCATGATCTCTAACTCAATATATATACTACCTTCATGCTTGGTTTTCCCCAATCCTCACAGGTTTTGCTATGTTGCGTACTGAGCTACACGGCTTGGGGCGTTACTGGAAAATCAAATATCATGTGCATTCAAAACTTCGTATAGGATCCAGGTATCATGGCAGTTGCCGGAGTCCACCAGCATAAATATCAATGGGCACCGCGTCCATCTCAGGCCTTCTCGATCAACCGATCAAAGATCTGGCTAATCTCCTTGGCACTCTTCTTTGGGATTCTCTTCTGGTCATTCTCATAGTCGACAAAAGTAACACCAAAGCGGGTCTCGTAACCCTCAGCCCACTCGAAGTTGCTGTAAGAAAACAAGTTAGTCAGACGTCATACCAAAACCATCGAGGGAACAAGATCTAAAACATACTCCATAAGACTCCAAGCCATGTAAGCCCGCACATTGACGCCGTCATGGGTATACGCATCAGCCATAGCACCGATATAATCCCGGAAATACTGCACGCGGAACTCATCGTTGAGCAACTCCTCAAGCGGCATATCGTTCTCGCCCAGGACACTAGTTCCGTTCTCGGTGACATAGATCTTGGGGTAGCCATACCGCTCACTGAGCCACTTGAGCAGTTTCCGGAATCCGATGGCAGATGGGCGTAGCCAAGGCGATTGTGTGATAGGCCCGACGCTCACGCCGTTCTTGTCTTCGAGAAGAAGCTCCAGGTTACCCGCGATATCGTTGATATCGGGCTCTCCCGTCTTGGCGCGGATGAAGTTCGCGCAGTAGTGGTTCATGCCGTAGAAGTCATTGCTGCCTTTAACAAGGGCAATGTCCTCCGCCGTCCAGGTTGGCAAACGGTCACCAAGTTGCTTGATCATACTGTCTGGGTATTTACCGTGGTAGATCGGGTCCGCGAACCATGAGATGGCGAACTCGATCTTGCGGTCACAGGCTTCCACATCGGCTGGGTTCTCAGGATCCCAGGGCTCGGCCCAGTCACCTATTTTGACAATATCATTAATAAAGGCTCCGTGTAATGCGGGGAGAATTGGGACATACCATTCAGCGTAATGCCAATCTCACCACCGTCCCGTTCTTTGAATTCATCGCGGTAAATCTTCACCGCGGCCCCGTGAGCAACTAGCAAGCTGTGGCTGACAATCCACGGCTCAGTCGAGCTATCTCCCACTGGGCTCTTGGTACGATCACTCGTGTGGCCCGGAGCGAAGGAACCATTGTTATATCCAAGAACACTGACACACCAGGGCTCGTTGAAAGTGATTAAGTGCTTGACCTTGGATCCAAAGGCCTCGAATACCACGCGGGCGTAGCGTGCGAAGTCGGCAACGAATTCCTCCTTGTTGAGTGGTCCACCGTACCGCTTGTCGAGCTCATCCGGAAGATCCCAGTGGTAGAGGGTAATCATAGGGGTAATTCCCGCATCAATCAGGTCATCCACGAACTTCTGGTAGAACTCTATGCCTTTCTTGTTGATCGGATCGTTCCGGCCGCCGAGAGGGATAATGCGGGACCTATAGATTTCGAAAGCTGGGGTTAGCAAATGATCTTAAGATTGAAGCTCGAGACCAGGGACACAAAGAGACAAACCATGACAGGGAAAATCGGTATGCCTGAGCACCGCATTCTTTCAACAAGGCGATATCCTCGTGTGTGCGATGGTAGGAGTCGCAAGCTACATCTCCAGTTCCGCCGCCGGCGATCTTGCCGGGGATCTTGCAGAATGTATCCCAAACTGACGGGGCGCGTCCATCATCGTTCACTCCTCCCTCAATCTGGTATGCGGCCGTTGCAAAGCCCCAGAGGAAATCGGAAGGAAGAGTGGATTGCTCGGTGGATCCCATGGTGAAATGAATGTCAATCAAGGGAATAGCTGGAATAGCTGTGTGCCAACCAAATTGTCTTGAATTCGAGCGCACATCGATATTTATGTGATTTAAAACGTTTTATTTTCCTTATTTTGTTGAAACGCAAGCGTGAGACTACAAATGGTGAGCTCCTTATCGTGACAGGAATGACCTCCGCGATCCGGAGTCAGGTCCGCGTCAAGAGCGTCGAGAGGCTCCACACCTCGTGACAACGAATGGCCTCAACGCCAGCCCTGGAACGGTTAAACGGCCCGGTCATATTGAAAGAAAAGGAATATATTCAAAACTCGTTATAGAAATGGGTAGATGCAAATACAATACAACCTAATAAAGAAATGATCCCGCCAAGAACTCCGGAATATAATGCGTGCCCCATTCGTGCAATTCATGCAATTCATGAAATCTCCATCCCTTCGTCGTCCGGGTCAACTTCGGACATCTCGTCTGCAGTAGATCCCAGCCGCATCCGAGAACCTTTATCTCGGTCACCTAGGCCATCTGCTCCGAATGTGACCATCTCCAACTCAGGTCCTGCGAAGACGCGACCTTCTGTATCCACTACTTCGCAGAGCTGAATCAAACTCCGGTGGCTGAGCGATTTGAAACCGTCTGTCCGTACCACACGGCCCCAGTATGTCAGGCAAAATTGCGCTGCTCGGCGCATCAACCAGTGCTCATTGGTCCGCCCCGCACGTTCCCAGACAATGGCCGCGTTGTCCACATCGAGCTCTTGGCTTAATCTATTGACGCACAGCAGGCGAAGCTTCGGCATGTCATAAAGATTGGCCATAACAAGCATACCCGCCACGTCGATAGCGCTCGAGCAACAGTCCGGATGGCCGGCGATACTGTCTGTGTACAGGTAATAGAGAAACGCGCGTACGACAGAATAAGGCTCGGGGATGTGCATCCGCTTGGTGTGGTACTCAGCCATCTGAGCGGAGTACAGCCGCTTGAAATGTGGCCACCTGAGCTGGAGGATGATACGGTGGACATGAATGGCCTCCGAGGTCCAGGGGTTCTGTTCCACAAAGGTCGGCTGGGCCTGGGTCGGGGAAATGCACGATGTGTCGCCCACATCTTCCAATACAGACCCGTCATGATCGTCACGAATAGCAGTGATAACAAAGTCCGTTCCACTTCCGGACTCAGGGGGTTTGTCAAAAACAGCGGCTAGATCGGTTCCCAGCCCGGAAACCTGGGAGGAGCCAATTTGATCAGACGTCCAAGGTGCGCCTTGTTCGGAAGGTTCTGCCGACAGGCCGTTACCTAGCAAACCATACTTTTCCAAATCGATAGTCAGGACTTCACTCATATGATTCTCGTCGCTACCTCCCGGTACATTCGCAACATCAAGACTACACCCCAAGAGCCATGCTTTGGTCCCCGCGTGATTGACAGTGCAGTAGTGCCATCGATAGCCGGGTCGGAAGATCTCTTGGCCATCAGCCAGCCGTTGCCAGCGCAGCGAGTTGAGGTCCAGAGCCGACAGGTTACAATCATGCGACCGTACGGTTTCCGACGGTGTGATTAGATCGAGCAGGACACCAGAGGCAAACGAATGGAAATGAGTACCAGAAAAGAGGGAGGGGACATGAGGACCAGAATCAAACCTAAGACAAGATATGGCACCAGGCGCAACTGGCTTGCGTCGGCTCAAACTGCGTACCTGCACGCTGCCTGAATTGGCGGCGTAGATTCCGGAGCGGGGCGACATTTGGTGAGGACTGCTAGATATAGAGTCTGGAAGATGAGCCGTAGAATGATTTACATTCAGGGAGTGGACGCTACCTTGGGGAGTAGTGTTTCCGGCCAGCGAGGGGGATCCCTTAAGGTCAAGCCACCAGATATCAGTCGTTCGCTCCATGTTCGGACCCAATCCACCAAATATCCACAGCCGTGTGCCCCAAACCCAAGCTGTATGATCGAAGCGAGCAGTGAAGCTCCATGTCCGAGACCAGGTCCATGTTTGGAGATCGAGGTAGGACAAGTCATCCAAGATCACATTCTTCTCCCCTGTCACGCCTCCTATGCCTGTCACTCCACCCACTATAAAAAGCTTGTCTTCATGAATGACGGCAGCATGCCGCGCTCGACCACGCGGGATCGACCCACGAATTTCGGGGAGTGTCCAGGTGAAGGTATTGAGATCAAGAATGACGACGTCGGAGAGATATTCGCGATGTTCATTTTCGCCTCCAAACACAATCAATTTATCCCCTTGATACAATGTCGCCGTGTGGCCTATCAGAAATTAAATTTCTAGTTAGAGTGTGTTCATCATTAAACATGGACGAATGAGAAGAGAGAGTCGTTACCCATGCGAACTCCGGGGATGTCGCCGTAGTTGTCAACGAGCTCCCAGCGCAAAGTCTCCAAGTCCAGCCTGAGCACGTGGTTATAAACTAAAAATTATCAGTGCCATTTTAGAAAATATAAGGCTAAGGAGAATGGCAACCTTCATCGGTAAATTGGTCAAACCCTCCGAACGCATAAATGCGATCATTGCTGCAGTACGTCACCGAGGCATTGACCAGGCACGCGGGGACATGGCCCTGGGCCTTTTTTATGCTGGGTCGATAGTCCGCGCTGGTCCGGCGACCGCCAGCCTGACTGGCAGGCATTAGGTAGGCGTCCTGCATTGCTATAGAGGGGGTACAACAGGATATCGGGTTTAAGACCCTCGAAGATACCGGCCAGGGAGAAGTTGTGGTGGGTCTCGGTGGAACTGAGAGGAACGTGGTGGGGGGGGTTGCAAAGAGGAGATGGATGCGCCATCTCAGTGGCGAAAAAGGGATTGGATTGGATCCGCAACTAGAACAACTGGTCACGACATTTTCTCCTTTGTGGCCTACGGAAGATATATTTGGTACAGGCTTCTCACCCTTCTTTGTTCTTTAGGGAAAGACGATTTTGTCATGAAATTAATGCCAAGACAATTATCACCAAAGAGGGCAAGCGCGGTATGACAACGCCTGTCCCAATACGGTTTAGTGTGCTATGTAGCTCAGGTAACCGTTGCTATGGGGAGAGCCTCATGCTTTTCAGTATAGTAGCTACCTACCTACGTACCTTCTATTTATTCGCTTTTCTCCTAACCTCCTTTTTCTTTTCTACATCTCTCAATCTTACTATCATCAATTGCCTGCATACTTTTCTGTTGGTTGATCTCGCATTAGCCTCTGCATCAATTCGCATTGCATCTTCTATTGGGGTTGATCCCATACATCTACTCTGATCATATATTAATATGGCGTCTGCTACTGCATCGACTCCAGTAAAGAGCCACCATGGGCTCTTCTCCTCCAAGACTGCTGGAGGCCGTATGCCTCTGAGCCCTTCGCCCAACCCTCGCGCAAGCGGCCACTCGTCACCCTTCACCCCTCCTCGCCAGTCTGATGCCGGCCGCAGTCAAGCCAAGTCAGTATACGGTGGAAATCTCTCCGCCCACTTTGCCAAGTCCATCTCAAAAGCAGCTCGTGCCACCCACCGTGACTCTCCCAAGACGAACAAGTCGAACATTGCCAGCACCCGCACCCGCAAGTCACCCAAGCACTTGGAGCTCGGTGTCTCGGACTGGACTTTGACCGGCACAAGTGCGACAACAGCCAACACTCCTTCAAAGGAGCACGCCCGCCGCGAGATTCCTACCCGGGCTCGTGCCAGCAAGACAACTGTGCGCATTCCTCACAACGCGGGTGACCGTTTTATTCCCAACCGCACTGCAAGTGAAGGTCTAGCCACTAGCGGGGCCGCAAAGCCAGAGGAGAAACAACGCCCTAAGAGCGGTGGAGCTGATGGATCATCGGTACTCGCCTCGGCAGCCAGCGCTTTTGACATTGGTGCGCGTGGATCGGATGATGACCTTACCGCTGCTTTGGAGAACTTGGGTCTGGATGACAATGAGCCTTCTACCTATACTCGCCCGGCTCCTGATGCCGTGGCCTACAAATCCTCTCTGGCTGAAGCTTGTGGGGTGAACATGAACACTCGCATTCTTGCCTTTAAGCCTCCCCCTCCCGAGTCATCGAAGCCCATTGATCTTCGTGCTCAATATAACCGTCCTCTCCGCCCTGCCAAATCTACAGCTGCCCAGTTCCGTCGCCGTGTCCAAACTGCGCCCGAACGGGTCTTGGATGCCCCGGGTCTTTTGGATGACTACTATCTCAATTTGCTTGACTGGAGCTCTGGCAATCAGGTCGCCATTGGACTTGAGCGAAACGTTTATGTCTGGTCTGCTGAGTCTGGCTCTGTCAACTGCCTTTTGGAAACCTCCCCGACACATACGTTAGCAGCGTCAAGTGGAGTGGGGACGGTGCGTACGTCGGTGTTGGCTTGGGAACCGGTGAGGTCCAGATTTGGGATGTTGAGGAAGGTTCCAAGCTTCGCAGCATGTACGGCCACGACTCCCGCGTCGGTGTTATGGGCTGGAACAAGCACACTCTGTCCACCGGAGCTCGTAGCGGGCTTGTCTTCAACCACGATGTTCGCATCGCAGAGCATAAGATCGCTGAGCTCGTCTCTCATACCTCCGAGGTGTGCGGTCTCGAATGGCGCTCTGACGGCGCTCAGCTCGCCACTGGTGGAAACGACAACCTCGTCAACATCTGGGATGCTCGCTCTCTGAGCGCTCCCAAGTTCACCAAGACCAACCACCGCGCCGCCGTCAAGGCTCTGAGCTGGTGCCCTTGGCAATCCAACCTCCTCGCCACTGGTGGTGGTTCCTATGACCGTCACATTCATTTCTGGAACACCACCACCGGTGCCCGCACCAACAGCATTGACACTGGCTCCCAGGTCACTTCCCTGCGCTGGAGCAACCACTACCGCGAGATTGTCAGCTCTAGCGGCTTCCCCGACAACTCTCTCAGTATCTGGAGCTACCCAACGTTGGTGCGCAACGTTGAGATCCCTGCTCACGAGACTCGCGTTCTCCACAGCGCTATCAGCCCTGATGGACAGATGCTGGCCACCACTGCTGCCGACGAGAGTCTGAAGTTCTGGAAGATCTTTGAGCGCAAGGCTGGTAGCAGTGCGTCCTCTGCTCGCGAGGGTGGTGTCGGCAGCAAGGCTCAGATGACCAAGTCTATGACCATCCGCTAGATGCTTGCAAGATGTGTTCATTTTACCTTTTTTTTTTTGTTGGATACCCTGGTTCATGGTGATATTGAAAGCATTGATGGGCTGGGACATTAATTTCGGTGTAATGGTTCTTTTTGGTGATGATTTTGGTGTTCTGATGGTGTTCTTTGTATTTACTTTTGCCGTAAACTGGCTGTACAAATTGTCCAAATGCCATTCTTACAGCTGCTTTAATTCATTTTTGTCATCATTTTTCTTTTATCTGTATCTTGTCTCTGATCTCTCGATTTACTCAAGTTTCTACTTCAAAGTGCCCAGGCGGGTTGGTCGCCGATGACTAAGCCTCGGCGATACAGTGGGATTTCGACCGCAGAGCCGTGACTTTCACCTTTACCAACCCATCGCGAAACTCACCGTCTCGTTTTCCTCTGACATTTGCACTTGTGGCACTTGTCTTTCAGAGCTTTTCTTCTCCTTTCTATTCGTGTGAAAGATAGGCATTCATAAATTGCTTGATATTGCGTCATTCGTTGGTGACCGACCAGCACTTCGGCAACTTGATAGTTGCGACGGAGCACTTCATTTCCTAGCCAGGCTATCCTTACCCAGTACCTTTCGCCAGTCGTTTATTGCCTGCTCTTTGCTCGCTCCGCATAATCATCCACCAGCTCATCAAACTGTTCTTGCTCAGCAGCCATGTCTAACCAGCAAGTGGTAAGTCCCAGCTTCTTCCCCAGCAAGCGCCCTGTTTATCCTCAGCCGTTGCTCGCATAGAGTCTTCGCTCTTCACTTATAACCATGTTCTCCTAATTTTGCCTTTGAAGTTTCTTTGATCTGAGATGAGAGCTGACACTTATGGCTTGATAGGGTGCGGTTTTCGAGAAGGTAATCCAGGAGGTCTGTGATGCCTCCCAGGTCGACTTTGAGGAAAGCGGTGTCGATCAGCAGACTCTGCATGATCTCCGCGAGGTTAGTACCATATTTTCCTACCTATATACCTGTCTTGTGTTGTCAAAAAGTCTGGTGTGGATGATTTCCCCAAAAGCGGGGATGGTCGAGGTGGTGCGGGAGGCGGTGCTTATGGGGGAACACCGGCTTATGAGTCTTCCCTTTATATGTTCCGGCCTTACCCGCTTAGGCGCTTTTAGACCGCCAAGACTACTTGATTATCTCATACATGGTGCTAATTATTATTTATATACAGACCTGGCAACACAAGCTTTCTTCTGTGAATGTCGCTCATTTCCCCTGGGATCCTGCTCCTCAGCCTCCTCAGCAGCACTCTGTTCCCCTCCCCACCGCTACTGTCCCCTCCAACGCTCCCCGACAACCTCCTCCCCAGCCGCAATATGTTCCCCCGCCTGTTTCAATGCCCCAAGCTGGACCCTCGCACACCATGCCCCCTATGGGTGGGCCTCGCATCAAGACCGAGCCAGGAACCAACGGCCAACCCGGAATGCCGCACATGACCACACCCATGCCACCGCATGGTCTCAACCCTCAGTCGGCTCGCGACCGTGCTGCAAATGCGCTTCAGCAGAAATACGGTGCCGCAGCCGCGAACTCGGTCCACCAAATGCAAGCCCAGGCCCAAGCTGGACAAGGATACCCTCAGATGCACCCTAACGCCCACGGGCAAATGCCACAGATCAAACAAGAACAGACCTACCCACACATGGGTCCTGGACAGACTGATGGTGGAGGTGACCCGATGACTGACTGGAAGGCAGAGGTAGCACGCCGAAGAGCAGCTGCCGAGAGTGGAGAAGGTGACCGACTTCTGCGCGAGCATCTCAAGCAGCGCATGTCTCAGTATGAGGGCGGAGGTCTCCTTCGTCCCTTGGAAGAGCACGAGTCTTCTTCCATGGTCGCTCGCCGTGCGGCTCTCACCGCACCCCTGAGCCAAAATACTACCACCGAGTCAACTTCATCTGCCCCTCGCGTCACTGGCCAGTTCGATGGCGGAGAAGATGATGTCAAAGAGGAAGATGAAGACGCCATTAATTCGGACCTGGATGATCCCGATGACCTCGTTGCTGATGACCACGACGCAGATGAATCGGAGGGCCAGGTCATGCTTTGCACATACGACAAGGTCCAGCGGGTGAAGAACAAGTGGAAGTGCACCTTGAAGGATGGCATCCTGACCACTGGAGGCAAAGAGTAAGTGATCCCAGTCTGCCATATTAGCATATACTAATCATACTAGATATGTCTTCCACAAGGGCCAAGGTGAATTCGAATGGTAGTCGAAACGACACCATCACTCCATGTTTTCTCAACCCGTCCTCCGATTTCCATTTGACGAAACCTCTTTTCTCGTTCTGTAACATTTTTTTTTCTCTACATGTGCTCTCTCATGGCACAAACGAAAACCAATCCCTGCGTCTTTTCAATCATGCCCTCGAAACGGTCTGTGCAAGCGAAATATTTCTCATGATTCTCACTACCCAAATATCGACATGGTCGGCAACCGAATCTTTGCTCCGCTTTTTCTTTGATTTTGAGCTTCCAATGGCTCATGGCGCTTACAAGTGAGGATGGGTTCTGCTTTTGCTTCTTTTTACATGCTTCTCTGCTCCTAGCCATGCCTTCCAAGGTTGGTTCTGTACTTGCTTGAATGACCGGCCAGTCTTGCTGGCTTCGGAATAGCACAAATGAAACTATGATTTTGAACAACTTCCGCTGGCCTTAGTATCATCTTCAACCATCCGCTTAGAGGTTTAGACAAAGCCGCCATTAATTGGATAGTAGGTGTTATAGTCTACCAAGTCCAAGTCCAGAACCTGGATCTACAATGACAAACTTAACCGAAAACGAAGTCAAGAAAAATAAATCCATAGCAAGACAAAAAAAAGAAGATAAGTAACAATGGGCAAAAAGAGCCAAATCGTATCAAAAAAAAAATCCATATCTACAATGATCCGACGCCGAGAAACCGCACTTTTAAGATACCCAGATCCTAGATCCAGTCCCCATCCCATCCCTACATAGGCAGGAGAGACGCAGGGAAGAAAAGGCGAACACCAAATGCGTGTGAAAGAGGGAAGAGTAACCAACCCCAGAACCTCGTACCTCGCACATGATTCCAGATAAACCCAGCCAAATCCCATTTCGCCAAACTTTTTCGGTGGTGGTCAGTTCCAGGTGCTCAAGGCGGCATTTTCGGATTTGCGACTTGTCGTCGTTGGAAGAGGCACATGAGCGAAAACACTGAACGCAATGAACGGGGACACGAATGGAAACAAGGCACGAGGTCAGTCCTTGCAAGAACGCAGCAACAACAAAGGAGTAGCAAGATGTGGGGATTCGGGAGATATCCGATTCCCCTAGTTTGTCTCCCACGGAAGACACGAATGCCGTATGAAGAAGCAAAACAAGATGAACAGTGTAAAAGCAAGCAAGTGCAAGCAGATTTTTCTAGACAGCTCTTTGCTGAGAAAGGGTCTTTCGATCTTGATCTTGATCGCTCAAGAATTGCTCTATTACCAGGCCAAGTAGATAGGATCTGGAAACGGCGAGAAATATCAAGCGTGGGAGTAAACCGATCATGCCAGTAGGATCTACCAGACAGCAGAAACGAAAAGCAAAGGGGCATCACAAAGCCCAGTCAATAAGTAAACCAGTAGGGAACAATTTTTGAAGAGAGGAAAAAGAAAAGCAATAACTCCAAAGTCACCGGACCCAATTCAAAATCATGACATCGTGTGTGCAGGAGTGCTCTCACCCCCGAAAGCCGTCGAGATCGTTCGCGTCAATTATTGGGAATTATGTATGGACATAATGACATATTTGTTCACGGGTTCACAGAAGGCCTTCTTCGCCAATTCCGGGGAGGCCAGCTCCAGCAACGTTGATGTTTTGCCCTTGCATGACTCCACCGCCGAGGGCGAGGTTACGACCTCCAAGCTGGAAATCCGGGTTGCAGGGTGGTGAGTGTGATTTATGGTACTTGAGTCCGTTCAGGTTCTTGTAGCGCTTGCCGCACACCTCGCAGCGGTAGGGCTTTTCCTTCTCCATGCCAAGCGTGCCGGGGTACGGCGCTGATGTCTCTGGGTTGACGATCGAGAACGTGCCATCGGCGTTGTCGTGAAGTTGTTGGTTATTATGGCCATGCTGGAATGAAAGAGGGAGTGGTTAGAAAAATAAGACGAATGTCGTGGATATCAGGTCAAACTTACAGCTTTGTGGTATTTGAGTCCGTTTTGGTTCTTGTATGCCTTCTCACAGCCGATAACGGGGCATCGGAACGGCTTGGGTTCTTCGTTGGGAAGAATAACGGTGGTGTCGGGAACACCAGCCAGCAATTGTTGTTCGCGGATTCGTCGTGCAATATCGCTATTCGGGCCATATTGAGCTCCACTGAGCTTAAAGTGGGCGTTGGGCGAACCCATGCCACCACTGGGGCTGAACAGCCGCTTGGCTGGTTCGTCGATGCAAAGATCGACCATGTCATTATTGTTCCCATTGAAGCGGCCAAACTGATTCTGATTTTGGCCCATGGTGTTATTCTGCATACTGAGATCACCGAATCCACCCATCATGCTCTCGTCGATTTCGGCGGGGTCCCTGGTCCGGATGAATCGGGCGTATTTCGGAACTGCGAATTTTGGAGCGGGTTGGCCATCAAAGTCGGGGTGTTGACGGAAGAGACAGTGGGATTGTTCTGCAGTGAAAGTGGTCGTCCAGATCCGATCGGTGTACCAGGTTGCGAGGGTGTGCTAAATCCTTGGTGGCTTGGAAGCATACCCAGATTTAACTGCTGCTGGTTGGAGTTACCATATCCGCCCTGTCCACCCTCATGCAGCTGAGACGAGAACATCTGCGACCCTGAGCCGTCTCCGTCTCCTAGGGCGTCGTCCAACTCCATGTCGTCGATTGTGTCTAGATCCGCGTGCTGCAATGGTGATGGATTCTGGCCCAATTTGCGCTGCATGTCCAGGGTCCGATCGGGCTGCAGACCACGTCCTTGGCTGCCATGCTGTTGGTTCTGTTGCTGCGCGATTGCGGCAGCCGCCAAGGCAGCTCGATTCTCACCCTGGCTCGGCCGATGGCCCTGGTTGGGCGACTTGGTCGCATGGGCTTCTTCGTAGTGTTGTAATAGGTCATGGAGCGTCGGTAACGTCACACCGCAGCACGAAAAGTCTCGCATAAAATTCGCTTCCAACTTCGGGAGATACGATGACGAATGGAAAGACGGGGACTGGAAGGTAAATGGCGATGTGCCAGTCATTATGATACTGCGGAAATTTTTCTTGGTCAGCTCTTGATGCAGTGCGACAATAGCAACACACGGTGAAGGATTCCCCCGCGGCTTCTATGTCTGGACAGGCCACTCACTCATCACGTATCCAACTACCGACAGATACACCACCCCAGCTCATACCACCCACCAAACTCCCTGCGAGTGACTCGCGGCGACCTTTGTCGCGGGCAGATCCCGACATCGTAATAGGTTTCGTCCCGTTCCCCCATTGTGCCGTGGCAGCGCCGATCGAGTCCTTACGAGGTGGCGGAGCCTTGAACACGCCGAGTCCTCCCCCGGGGAGATGTGAAAAGCTCCCTGTGCGCTCGCCGTTGCCCGCTCTTTGCAGCGCCGAGGTCAGATTGGACGCCTGTTGACCCGGGGGCGACACCGAGGTCGACTGCCGAGAGGAAATATCAATAGGCGTGGCACCAGTCATCGTGACGAACTGGTAGTATGAATTTTTGGTTAAAGATAGTAAGAATTCCAAGTCGAGGTTTGACGAATCGATATCCTAGTTCCCTGTCCGGTGTTGCGCGATGTCACGCCAAAACCCGAGGGGCTTATGGATGACAGGGTTTCTTCGAGTCCGGCGTTGAAGCGCGAAGCTCACACAGATAAAATCCGTAGAGAATAAGAATGCGACTTTGAGACAGTCGGTGCCCCTCGATGAGTGGACTTTTGAGTGGATGGCGGTTTTTGGGCGGGTTCACACGCAGGAGTCCACCCTCGGATGATGTCCCGCTTTGGCAGAAAGTTGTCGAGTCACTTGGAGGAGTACAGCTCCCTTTTCTTGTCTTTTTAAGAATAATCTGAAGAATGAGAGGAAGGGTACAGTACAGAGAGAGTAATATTGCAATCGAAGAGTGATAAGTCAGAGAAACAGCAGGGGCAAGGACTCATGAAGACGGGGTATGAGATGGCAACGCTTCCGGTTTGGGACAAGCGCCGTTACGGTATTTACTCCACGTGATTGTTTCCCTACCGAGTCTTGGCCTTGAGCCGGACCCGAGTAATTATATTTCGATATTATAGCACTATGGAATTTGACGGGTTAATTTGACGATCCTTGACTATCATGGTCAAGTCATTGAAATGCCAACCAGAGTATCTGAAAGCGTATCTAGCAGTTATAGTTAAGTGTATTCTATTCTCTACACACCGCTTGCAGGATGCGAACGTCATGATCCGTAACATACTAAATTACCTGAAACGGCTAGTGTACCGTATCTTATGACTAATTTGGTTTAATCGGGGACTATACCTAACTCTACACAGAACTAGTCCCCGAGTCAATGATGGTGATATTAATTTTGGGTTGCGGACGAACGGGGATAATATCTCCTGCTGTTCTGAACAAGTAGTATAGCTGAATTATGTTGAGTTACGCAATGTGCTATACTGACTGGATACCTATACTCCATCCGAGGTGGAACGATAATAATAATAATAATAATTATTATTATTATACCGGCCTCCCGACGCCGTAAGTGGAGCAGCAACACTTTCTCCTGCCATATCGACTTTTTTTCTGGTTGTGAAGAAAGATTCTCCACTTTCTACAAATCTTCCCTGGGAATCGTAATAATAAGTAGATCTATAGATGTGAAGCGATAGACAGATCGAGGCGTTGAAGAAACTCAGATTCCCTGTAAAATCCGGGGTCATCTGCAAGGGGTAAATCTCAGATAAGAGATCTGAGTGGCGAATTTGCCTTCGCTTTTTAACACTTCGTCATTGCATAACCTTTTAAAGCGTGTCAATAACTGGGGGCTGGTGATGTGGTTAGTACAACATAGTAGTCTGTACATTCTAAAACCCCCCTATTCTATGTCCTATATTGTTTGAAAGAGCTACCGGGAAATTCATCTGAAAACTATAACTTCCAATCTTGGAAATGAGTGGCGATTCTCAAGTTTCAGTCGGAGAACAACGGGTCTTGGCTTTGCGCTAGAAACGCGGCAGAAGCAGTTGGGCAGCCTTCCATCTCTTTAGCGCCTTTTCCAGCACACCGCCTTGTTTTCCCAAGTTTCAAAGGAATGCTCCGTACGGAACACTCCGTACACTCGGAGTAGGCTAATACCTATTATGGTTATATACCCTGTACCTCGGTATAATAATATATATTATAATAAATACTTCGTACTAATATTTATATTGGCGGAAAACTCGCGTATTCCGGGCAAGATGAAACTTCCGAGACTCGGAGTCCGCCCCGTTATGCCCGTTAGGTATAAAGAACAAGGGTAAAACTATAAGCTAGGCCGTTTATTACTGAGAGTAGGAATGCTACACATAAGATTTACGTCGGGGTTATTTCGGGATCACCCATTATTGAACTATTTAAAAAGCATTAATACTCAACGTTGGCAGATCATACCATCATGTATTATCGTTTCCCAATGACTTCGAGAGCCCCATCAACCTGTTTTCTATGTATTGGAGTAGAACGAGCTATACAGTAATATACATCCAGAGTAATTAAAAGTAAACATATTCCAGTCTACTCCAGTTTTATAGCATATTTACCCCAGAAGGAGATTCTTCCCTAAGTATCGTCCCTCCTACGTTTTGTGCCAGGTAGTCCACGTTTCTTTTAGCAATTTTGATCGGATTTTAGTCATTTGTCAGCACCTTAGGTGTATATTGTATGATGCGTCTCACAATGGCATGATGCAAGTGTAACAACCTTGTCACGATTCATTGATTGTGTGATCGAAGGTGGATGGTGTCCTGTTTTTCTGACTGCATCCTGGCTCAGGCTGATTCCCTGCATCCAGGTCTTGTTCGATAACCCTGTGGATTGCCATAGGCCAAAACAGGCTGTATCTCATGAATCACATTATCCCCGCACCACTTTTATTAAGTCACGATGACAGCGTCGTACTCTGTAGTTCTAGATCGACTGTCAGATTCAGGCTGATATGAGGGATACAGCCCGAATATCAACAGTACCCCGCTTATCTCGACTTCTTCCGCCAGAGACAGTAGCTAAAAATAGCATCTTACTTGCCAAGATGCACGACACGGGATAACTGAGAGTAAATATTGCGATCAATGCAGTACGGAGTACCTATAAAGGATATTCTAAATCACATCATAATTCCTAGGCTGATTAGTCTATATAGTGACCTAATCCAACTTAGAACTTTCCATGTCCCTTGAATACTCCGAGGATGCTAACCTCAAGTTAGATATACACAGTTTTCGAGGTCCTACCCTAGGCGCTAACAAATACTATCATTATTTCCAAGGTTAACCCAATCTACTGCACCGTAAGAGAGAAGCACTTGTCCTTGGTTTCACTTATGGGAATCGTGCAAAGACCTATTAACACAGCGATTCCAGCTCCGATAAGTCCACAATATCTGTCGGTCAAAACCGCCTCAAACTCAGATTCTAAATACTGGCAGTCGAATCATCCAAGACACCACAGGCCAGCATATAATCAAAGTGACTATTAAAACCGCATGACCTTTACTGGCGCCTGATCCATAGACAATGAATTCGGGCTCTTATTTATAAGGCATCTCGCGAGTATACCATCGCTCTTTATGTTTAGTTTCGCCCAGACTTGGCGTATCGATCGCCCTACATCATCATGTGAAGTTCCAGGGTTATGAAGCAGTATTACCTCATGGCGTTGCTAATTTACCGGAGAATCATACCGATATAGTTATTTTTGCTAAAACATTGTTAGTGTTATTGGTGAACATGTGTAAAAGGTGCAGTGGTTTTTAAGAATATCACGACTGTTCTGTTGTTTGTAAGGGAAATGAGTCGCTCTATGCCTCTAGATGATGAGATGACTTATGAGCACGATACAGTCTGCTCTTTGGAAGATTCAAAATTTCATAATCAGTTAGGAGGACCCTAGATAGAAGCACGAAAGGTAGCTGCTGGCACATCTCTGTTGTCCTTTCTTCGATGTCCCCTCTCAACCTTTCGCCGATAGAGAAAATAACAGACATAAATCAAGAGCCAAAATATTAAATTTATCTTCCTTCGAAAGGTTGCTTCAAACCCACATTGTTGTGCTGATTCGGGCAATCTGCCATGAATAGGCACTGACATGACTATTTATGTTACAAAGGGACACTTGAGACTAGTAGTAAGATGCCTGGGACAATTTTGACTCCCACCCAAATTTGTATTTAAGTCTCAAGGGTGTATCATCAATCTTACGTCTTATGTGCTTGAATTCTATGTCTGTAGCGCTGCAGTTGCCTCGGGGGACTCTGGAAAGACCTTTTAGAGATAGAAGACGAGTCCAATTATTGTATCCTTTCTGTTGAGTGGCAAGCGTATCTGGGTGGGGAGGTGCAGGGCGGTATTACATTGCCAGGGTGCTGTTTCTGTAATATCTAGAAGACGGAAGTCTTGCGGCTCGCAACGCAACGGGTAATCTTGGAAGTATGCAGTTAGACAAGCTTTTTCATTGCGCCGAATTTCGGGACTAATAACGAGAGAGATTAATATAATCTCGTTGGGAACTCGATTTCTTGTAAAGAGGGATACAACCGAGGTCTATTGTGAGCTCGACCTTCATATGTGATAACGCCTGAATCATGTCCCTTTTATTCATGGGGGTGTGATTTATTTGCAGAGATATTGTCTAGAGGAATGTATAGTGGGATGACAAGGTGAATGAAGCCCTATATAGAGGTGGAGGCTTATCGAGGTTGGAATGTGCCTCATTCGAGGGTTAAGCATTTTGGTAAGGAATAAGCTAATGAGAGTGTCGCGATTAAGATGTGATCAAGGATGTCGTTACCACGAAATGAGTGGACATGCATGCCAGACTCCCTGGCGCCAATGATCTGTTCGATGCCCAAATTGAGTTAGAGCACATAGCAATACTGGCTCTGGATGATGGCAAGAGAAGTAAATTGGGAAGTTGCTCTTAATCTTAGAAGTTTGAGGCTGGCAAGCAAATAAAAATGGACACAATGGCGTCGGGCTATATCTTGTGGCACATAAGACGGAGGAACACAATTATTGCCCCTTCCCAAGAACCAGCGGTCTGACACTAAATATAACATGAACGGGTAATATCTTGACAAGCTAAAGTGAGACAGCTCCTAAGCAAGTTCAAAATAAAGTCCGCGCAGTCCGCACGAGGCCCGCGTACAAGGTATATTAAGGAGAAAAAAAGGATATCAAAAGCGAAGTACATGGTAACACAGATCTATTACTCACAGAACCAGCCATATTCGCAATCGACCGGTGAGAACCTTAGTGCTAGCCCAAGCCCTAAGTACTTAGAGAGACACGGAGTACCTATTTCTGGGCAGCTCGGAATCTGAAAACCGACTCGGCTAATTCTCCTTTTTACAGAGCGCACCTCACATACCATATGTCATGTGGGCAATTAGTGGGTCTTATTGGACACGAGAAGTTTAAAGTACATCACCCAAAACTATCGATAGAGTAGAGTAAATAGTGTGCCTTATGCCCAGATTCTTCACCGAGAAACGTGTGGGGAAGTAAATAATAAGCAGATGAGGGGTAAAGGGGAAATGAAGTGACCGTCTCACCGGAGAAACGTAAAGGGGTGGAACAACCAGCTGGCAATTGTGGACCTAGATGATTTGCGATATGAACAAGCCAATCCAATCAATGAAACGATCAACGTGTAAAGAGAGAAAACAAAAGGAAACAAAACAATTGTGAACTGATAAGCTGTCGCAGTAAGATTGGCAACAGGGTGGCTTGGCAGGATTCACAATGCCCAAAAATAGGTGCTGCTTGTGTGTATACACATCCACGGCGTGCAATGGGCATTCTTGCCTGGTCGTGGAACATGGTCCGCGATAACCGTCAATCCCTGCCCTCCCGGCCAAGGCGGGAGCATCAGAATGCACAAGGCTTGGCGGAAAATCATCATCTTGGCAAAACTTGGCAAGAATTTAGGGGTCTCCCTCGCGTCCGGGGGGTGGGGATTCCTCTACGGAGTACGGAGTACGACGTACAACCTGTGTTTTGATCAGGTGGGCTATGCAATGTGCACAATTTGGTGGCAAAAGTGGAGTGGAAAAAAATCATGCAGACGGTTTAGAGTCTTGTTCTGATTGCTAGCTTGCCGAATGGGGCTATACGTATGCTTTCCAGAAGCGAAAGACATAATAATGTAAACAAATTTGGAATAAAAAGCATGTGATAATTTGGAAACGCCAAAAAGAAACACCCCTATTGATTTTCCTGCCCTATCCCATGATGGGGTGGTCCCAGACCTCCCGATTGGAGTCGCTCAATTGACAAAGATTGCAAAAGAAAAGAAAGAAAAAAAGGAAACAGATGGTAAGCTCAATGATGCGTCGGTTGCTGCGATGGTGATATATCTTGAAATATGGATGAGAAAAAGAAGACCGAAGTGACTAGGCGCCTAGTGCTGCTTCTTGCCATGACCAAGGTAGAGGAAACCACTCGGAAGGGTGGCGGTAAGGTCACTGAGGGAGACTGAAGAGTTGGTAGAAACGGAGCTATTGGTGCGAGCACGGTTGGCAGGAGCCAACACAGGGATTTCCTCAATTGAGCTGTTCTCAATCTGGGACTGGTCTTCCCAGACGCGGGGATCCGGGCCAGATTCAGTGGGAGACAAGACGAGGAACTTGTTGGCGGGATTGTAGGGGCCAGACTCAGTGGCAGAGAGAACCAAGAAACGGTGGGTGGGAGTGTAAGTGTACATTCTGAGAGAACTTTTTGAAGGCTTTGTGTGTGGAAGTGAACTCGGTTAAAGACGGGATCTGTGGAGTATGAAGAAAGTTGTAGACGGATTGTTTTCGATGAAAGTGGGAAATCTCAGGGAATTTCGACCTCACTTATATAGTCCAGACCGAGATAAGCCAAGAGGGACCCTGGAGAATGAGGGGCATGCTGTATCAATGAAAACTAAGCCCGAAACACGCCGATCCAACGCATCCAGCACATCATATCTGGGCGGGGGTACGGAGTAGTGGATACGCGGTCATGCAGATAAGCCACTCCCCGCCAGTATCACCCATTAAATCCCATAAAGGAGAATCCCAAACATGCTGGAGAGCTTCACATGTCTTGGCTGAAAAAGGGGGGGATCAAAGCCAAGAGCTCACTATTGACCGACTATCACCCTTTCTTTTTTCCCAAATGCTTCTACTTCGCCTCTCTTGGCGCTGGCATTGTCGCACCAGAGTCTGGGCGGCTGACAGTCATTCTCAGCGGTCATGAAAAATATGTTGACTTGGCAAATTAAGCCCTGTGTCATTGCGCAATATGCTTTGCCTAGAGAAACCCGTTGCCAGCCGAAAACTCAAGGACCTCGGAAGATCAACAGCCAGGATGAGGGGCAAATATACGAAAACTCATGCCTTTCACAGGCTTCCGTATGCATCCACAGATGTGTGTTAATAATGGTTTCGGGTGGGAAAGACTTACCTATTCCGAGTTGTTTCGTCGATAGTTTTCTTCGCCAATCATTCTAACCGCTGGATGGGCGCTAGGACCACCGGTTATGCTGGGATATTTGATCTCTCCGGCCTTTCTCTTAGGGACCCGAGAATGCACATTTCGCTCCCTTTTAGGGGAAAAAGACACGAAAGTGACATCATCTTCCAAATTTCCCCAGAATCGAGAATGGAGAATCGAGATCTTGTTAACCGAAGCTGTCTCCTCCATAGATTCGGGTAATTATCACCCCGGGACATCACTAAGCATGTGAGAAAGCAGATTGTTTCAAACTGATCTGCTGGGTTATTCCTAAACAGATAGAAATTGAAATTGAAAATTGAAAATTGAAAATTTTGTTTCCAAGGTTCCTTCCTCAAGTTTATTTAACCTTGAAGTTGAACCTTGGGAACCCGTATCACGTGGTAGGACTCCCATGCAGCATAATCCAAACGTTAATGAAGTACGGAGTAATTTGTCAAATGTTTCTATTTTTTCCCTTCTCTGCAATGTCTGAAAAACACAAACCAACAGCGGCAAAGCAGACTGCTCAGCGACTGGTCTCGACCTGTCGATTGCGTTGCTGTGCCTTGCCGCCCTAGCCTCGCACGTCTCTACTCGCTCGGAGTTAATATCCCGTGTGGGCCGGCGCCTCAGCAAAGGGAGCCTCAGTCGAATCCATATGAACGCTACTGTGCCTTGGCTGAGGAACTTGGTGCTTGTCGCCAGAAATTAACGCTCTAGAATTAATTGATAGGCCAACGTTGAATTCTTTTTATCCTGGGCCCTGCAGCAAGATCGCGCTAGATCCGACGAAGAACGCCTTATGGCCAATATCGCACTCGGCCAACACCGACCATACTACTCCGTATACCACAGCACGTCTGACTTTTCTTGGCTTCGCAATCGCTCTACTCGCTTAACCACAATCTTATTTTTTTTTTTAAAAAAAAAAAAGCCTTGTCACTGTGCAGTCTTTCGCATTTTAATCGCGCAGAGCTTGCGGCTATCACCAACTGCGCCATAGAAATGAGCCTTATTCGCCTACATTCACAAGTCGAGTTCCATTGCAATAGAGTCAGTGAAGTCATCTCCTGCCTTATCGAGACTGACTTGGTGTGCAATTTTGCTTGGAGGACCGTCTTCTATGAATTTCGGTTGGTTCCCGATGCTTCTTTCAGCGGTCTGCCTATCTAGCCCTGCGGTACATCATGAAGGTCTAGAGCCAAGACTCTTTGGGTCATATGCGGGGAATACAGTTCTTGGGAATCACATTGAGTATCCCAACATCAGAATTTGAGAAGAGTCACCCAAATTTCACCGGCATTACTCAATTAGTCGCATCTCCTGCGCCGCCTACAGTTAGGTACACACATCATGAGAAAGCTGTGGCAGGTGCCTTCCTCCCAGTATAAGCCATGCCCTTAAGGTAAGCTATCAGGATCATAGAGGTTTGTCAGACGGGGCAAACTATGTTCCTGACCCACGCTTCCGCCGCAGCACTGGCCCTATGAGGTGCCATCCGATGAGGGCCACTGTTGGCGCTCAGGACATGAGCCATAACACTGGCTGCAGCGCTTTTAGAGTGATGTCAAGTGTTCCCTACAGCCTGCGGGCGTTGGAACTTGCAGCGGTCGTCATGCTTAGGGTTCGGTGACCTTGACCAACCCTGCTGCTCGCGAACCCCATGTCAATAACCGTGACTCTTCCCGGAGGCACACTACACTCCAGCGGCCCACCTACCACAAACGCTGATTTCTGTTGGTGAAAGCATATTTCCTAGATATGGCGCATGTGTATACAATTTTCGTGCCCTCCATCACCTTCTTTTTGACTGCGCAACAAGTGATCACCAAGTCACTGCCTGCATACGGCGCATCTGGATAGGTGATTTACAGCGCTTGTAGGGGAACGGAAGGACCGAACCGTTTTTGCGACTCTGGGTGGTGTGTTCTCTTTCCTTTTCTATTCAGTTGCGCAGTCAATTCACTTCTCTTGATGTGGCCATCAAATGCTATAAAGCCTGGCATTGATCCCGTTCTTGCTTCTCATCACAGCAATCAACATCTAGAGTTGAAGACCTCCTTCGAACCCAGTCATCTTCAATCCGCACCACCTGCTTCTGAATCCTCTGCAACTTGACTTCTTCACTCGACCCTCAATATGTGTTCCATCTACATCTTTGAATACGCCTGCGGCTGCAAGTACCAGGAAGAGGGCGTGGTCCCTTGTGTTAAACAAGGGACTCCTGAGTGCAAGGGCGTGAAGGAGCAGCCTCGTGCACGAGGCTTCCGGTGCCCTCGTCACGGTGGATAAAGTGACCTCAGATGTGAGTTGCATCTTTCATATCGCGACGGCCGTCGCTTGCATAGAGTTTGGCTAACAAAACACAATAGGCACTCGATTACTTCGGGGGCTCGAGGCCGTCCATCGTTATGTCCTACGATCCTCGAGTGATTGGCGTCCCCGCCCTGTCTGTGTCTGCTTCAAGATAGAAGAAAATAACACTGTATCACGTCTGCTATTTGGGAGCAATCTCATTTGTTGCCTCGCATCGGTTATTCTGGGAGCTGGGCGACAGTTTCATATGTCTGGAATTTCGGGATCTCGTTTTGACTTTTTTCTGTCTTTTTTTTCCCCTGTGATTATTTGCGTGTGGTTCTCCGTGTTGATCGTCTATCTACGCGTGCGCGGATCTTCCTCTCCTTGGACAATACGGTCTCGTGGACAAGTTGAGAGACCATAGAGTTTGGTATTTAATACGCAATACATCATGTTGTCTTGATCTAAGATATTTTTACTTCTTATTTTCCCACTAAGTTTTATTTCAATGGCTGATGCATGCGGATTCCAATATAAAATGGCAGTATCAAGCAGAAGGAAAATATGTCCAGCTTTGTAGAACTTCATTGGCATACAACAGTCACGTTGCCCACAATGATCTATTATCCTACGGAATTGTCGATAAGTCCACTCTGTCTTGATACTACTGAGGGGCAGTTAAGGTGTGTGTTTCTGTTGGCGGCTGGCGTGTATTCATATTATCTATAAGCCAACGCCATTGCAGATGGAAGCAGTTCTCTTCGCATCATACCATATTCACTGTCGTCCAGATCTAAATTCAGTTGATCTACCTTGAAGATCTTCGGCATGCCGCACTTTCACGAACCCAACACAACCAGTAAGACACATCTCCCCTGTTGGTGGCAAAGGAATTTGTTGGATTATACGACCAATACCGGATCCCAGAAATACCCCTGCGAGGTGGCGATAACAAGGAAAATAGCGTGCAAGATGGGGGCCAAAGCTGGGGATGGCGCATGTTCGCGATGCTTATCTGTTTGTAGCAAAGTAGACGGAAACAAAGTCTTCAAGCAGTCTAAAGTGCTCTGGGTGGTTGGAACTGAGAAACACTCTCATCAGCAGGGTATGTGGGCCCTCTTAACGCATCGCAGAGCCTTCTCTTGGCCTCCCAGATAGAAATACATAAATGACAAGACTGTTGGGGATCTAGCGAGGATGTGACGTTACTCTCGGTAAAGTCGGACAGGCGTAAATTCCCTATTGGCGAGAATGGGCTTTGGACACGTTGTCCATACGCGAGTCATGTCATGCATTCTGCGGTGTCGATCGAACACTGGATGGGTAGGAATGAATGCCCTCAAGAACCAGTCACGTCAAAGCTATAAGGGTAAAGGCGCATGGAAATCGGTTCCATCCTCTGATCGTAGGACACGAAGTCAAATCAAGTCCAGTATACAAAAGGGAAAGGTCGAGAAACAAGGCACAGCCCCCGAACAGGTGGGAGGTTCGGGATCTGGAGGCTGGTCAGTATGTTTTAGAACATGCTAGTGACATTAGACGCGGCTGCGATCCCAAGGTACAAGGTAAGCGATAGGCTGCACAGACACCTCGTGGGTTGCATTAGTCCCGCATATAATTTGTATCAGCTGATTATTTTTTAGTGTTGAATCGACCAATATCCACCCTAGGTTTGTTGGTTTGTCGATACGTAGTTGTCGGTTTCCTGTCACAACCTTTCAAGGGGTAGATACCTGCGTAGGGGTGGCTGTGATCGTGTCGTCCCTAACTAATCATATCATATCAAACTGGGTCGGGTCGATGTGGAAGAAACCGAAGGATTCGATCGAAAGTCGGCGGCAAAATACCCAAACACGGGTTCGCTCCACGCCGCGCAGACCACGTCAAAGCTCCTTAATTGACCAATCCGCATCTTTGTTGGCGCTGTGCTTGGCTAAATCCAGCAAAACAGGTGGGGGATATGACTTGGCCCTCAGATTAAGAGTGTCCAGATGGCATCTTAGTTCGTGAAGTCCGGTTATGGCTTCAATATCACCAATCTGTACCGAAGCAATGTAAGTAATGTACCGATCCACCGAGCATTGATCATTGACTTTCACCGGTCTAGATTGGATCCCCGGCCAACATCAAAACGATCGGGGCCAATGAAGAGAAAATTGGACCGGGCAGAGTTATCGAATGAAAAGGATGGAAAGCAGTTACGTGTGTTATGAATGAAATGTCCTTATACCCTTATATAGTAATTAGTAAACCTTGGAACGCATATTACATATTGCATAATGAAGCATCCATGGATTGTATTCCCCAGTAGTTTGTTGATCATTGCTTCATAGTAGTTCGTTCTTTATCGATGGATGCGCCAACTGGCCGGAATGTCATCATGTATATCACGTGGTGATACCGTCACGGGCTCCCCAACTTCTTTCTCCCAGCAACAAGCATCAAGAGCTATAACGTTGCATATGTGATGTCAATCGAAGTCGACTGGGCAGCTGCCACCTCCGGCCCGGACGGGGAAGCCCTGGCAGAGCGAATCCGGTCCTTCGTACATGACAAATTCCAGGAGATCACGCTCCCGCGCTTTATTCGCTCGGTCCAGGTCCACTCCTTCGATTTCGGGACCATCGCCCCAGATCTCGAGATAAAAGACATCTGCGAACCGTTCGCAGATTTTTACGAGGAAGACGACGACGATGCCGACACCTCCGTCGCCTCAGAGGAGCTCGGGCATGAGCTCCACGAATCTCCATACGAAGACGACATGACCTACAATCCAACCGCGCATAGCCTCCATAATTTCAGTCACCATCCATACCCCGGCGAAGGCTTCCAGCCATCTGCGCTTCGATCCCCACTAGGCGACCACCTTAACCCGCATTTCATGCCACGCGCCAGTACACCAGGAATCCCCGGCGGTACATCAACATTAGGATACCACATGCGGTCCCTGGGCGGCCTATCAGGCACCCAGACACCCCTTGCCGCCGTAGCAGGTGGCACTTCTTTTGCGAGCGGATGGTCAGATTCGGGTATGGGTGTCGGACCCAGGTCCCAAGCAGCCCGCCCTGCTGGACCACATCACCTTGCGGAACCAGACCTGGATACCACCAACTCCACCTCCAGACCCTCGACCGCAAACACACTCCCCTCCCATCCTTCCCTTGGCCACTCCGGCAGCAGCGGGTCAAACCCGCATACCAGCGACCCCACTGACGCGCCACAGCCCTCAATAGAGACATCAGACGACCCCGCCGCCGAGGGTCAATCGCTCCCCATCCCGCCGCGCATGCGTGAACGTCGCCCAGAGGACTTCCAGGTGCTCTGCCATGCGAAGTATGCTGGAGACGTGCGCATGTCCCTGACAGCGGAGATCCTGCTTGACTACCCGATGCCAAGCTTCGTGGGGCTGCCGTTGAAATTGAATGTTACGGGCATCACGTTTGACGGAGTTGCCGTTGTTGCATATATCCGCAAGCGAGTGCATTTCTGTTTCCTTTCTGCGGAGGACGCGGATGCCCTGCTTGGATCTGAACAGTCTCAGGGTAGCCAAAATCCCAGTGACGATGGTCGGCCTCGGTCCGGGGGCGATCAGAAGGAGAAGGAACTGAAGCGGCAGGGTGGGCTTTTGCAGGAGATCCGGGTGGATAGTGAGATTGGTCGCAAGGAAGATGGGAAGCAGGTCTTGAAGAATGTTGGGAAGGTCGAGCGGTTTGTACTCGCTCAAGTTCGAAGGATCTTTGAGGAGGAGCTTGTATATCCTAGCTTCTGGACATTCCTGGTTTGAATCTTCAAATCATACCATCCAGCCGTAGTCGGTTGGTTCTTATACTATGTACATTACGAATAAATTATGATCTCTAGGCGGAACAATTCTTGCTCCGGGCCTTAGCTTTTTATACACCGAGCGGTTACCACGCCTTAATCCACGCCCACGCCTCACTCCGTGAACCGTGTGTACCGTGTGCAGCAGGAACTGTCGTCCTTCACTAAGGACGGTCCCGGCATGGGTAAGTAGCCAATCCTCAGATATTCTAACGAAATTTCTAACCATTGTTATAACAGAGCCGCCCACCTCGGTACCGACCGCATGGAGGTCCAGGCCCGCAAGTTCTACTCGCAGCGCAACATATCAACAGACAATTGATACGAAAGGGTAAAATTGATTGAATATGATAAGTGCTATAGAATCAGCACTATGGATCCCATCGAAAAATCTTAAAGATATCTGCTAGTACATGGAAAGGAAAGCAGCGGTAGAGAACTCCTGCCAACTGTAGTCCCACATTCCCCTCTACATAACTGTAGAGTTCATACATAGAGAAAGGGTAGATATGCACAAAACTTAGTCCAGAATGTGTCGAGTGATTTTGTTGCCGAAAGGGTCCCAAGTCCCTGAAGGGGACGAGCCCTCAATCCAAAGCAAAGGTAAAAGGTGCGCGAGTGAAAGTCTATCAAAGCTTGGGCTTCGACAGTCTGAGTCAGGCGGAATCGGACAGCGCAACCCGTTACAGGTCTTTCTTGTCCTTCTTCTCGTTCTTCTCGCCCTTTTCGTTGGAAACCTGGTCACCCAGATTGTGGTACTCGCGAGTCAGACCCTCGCACTGCTTTTTAAGTGTCTCAATATCCCGGTCCTTTGCCTCAATAACCTCCTTAAGACGACCGATCTCGCCGACTGAGCCAGCCTCCGCGATACGGGCAGAGTCCTTTCCGCCGGCCTTCTTGTCGCCCTCGAAGAGACGGACGCGGTCCTCAAGGCGGAGAGTCTCGAGAATCATGGTATAGGTGCGGTTGAGGATCAGGGAGAGGAACAGAGTGAATCCACAGAGATACATGTTGCGCTGCGAGTAGAACTTGCGGGCCTGGACCTCCATGCGGTCGGTACCGAGGTGGGCGGCTCTGTTATAACAATGGTTAGAAATTTCGTTAGAATATCTGAGGATTGGCTACTTACCCCATGCCGGGACCGTCCTTAGTGAAGGACGACAGTTCCTGCTGCACACGGTACACACGGTTCACGGAGTCGATGAACAAAATGAGGATGAAGATGAAGGTAATCTGGAGGCCAGTTTAGCAGTGCGAACGGAAATTTGGCGTCTCAAATTGGCAATATACCTTCAATCCATATTGCAGCTTGGCGATGATGGGGCTCTCGGAGATGAAGGCAAACAGCTTGCGCTTAATGGTGTGGGGAAGAGGGATGACGAGAGCCAAGAATACGGCCATCTCGAACACCAGAAGGAGGAACACCTGTATAAGAGCATTGTGTTAGTCCATCGATAGGCGCAGGGTCTGGAGATATGATGTTGGCAGCTTGGGCTGGATGGACAGTTTCAGGCACCAGGCTGCAGCGATTCTTGAGCAGCACCACAAGAAGCAACTTTGGAAGGAGCTCGTCAGACTTACAAGGGAGTAGTAGAGAGTCATTGTGCCGTGTACTATCAACCAAGCGACACTTTAAAATCGAGTTTCTGGCCTAATCAAAAGGGGCGGGGTCACAAGAGCTTCGTGAGGATAGCTTAGGGGGGGAAGGTAAACAAATGCGAGAAGCAGCAATTCTGTAGTGAACAAGCACAAACACAGAAAGACTAAAGTAAGAGAGTTTCCTTGGACCAAATAGTTGAGGCAATTGGAGGTCTGGGAAATCGAAAGACGAGGTGGTCTTATGGGGGAAGTTTTTCAGGTTCGGAGGAAGACGTCATGGCCTCGGAGGGTCTGCACGTGATGCTGTCATCAACCCTAATCAGCCTTGGAGATTCCCCAGATCTCCCTAGGCATTGACTTCGTTCCTGAGACAATTGACTTGGGTATGTAGACTGGAGCTTGAATTGATTGAAATTCTCCAGTCTCTACCAGCATGTTCGATGATATTCTTGCTATGTATAACACTGAAGTCTAGTATATGTCGTCATCACTCGTGGACGGGATCTACATCTACATTGTATAACTGATAATGCAATTATCAGCATAATATAGTTACCGTTTCTCCAAATATTATTTTTCTCGACCAAATGGAATATATTAATATGCAATTATGTACATCGTATTCGGTGAGTCACCGGGAAAGGATTCCCCTCAAGTGGGGAAGTTTCGGCTACTGCATGGGTTAGCCTGGCAAGCTGTCAGCAGTCGAGAGGGGAGTTGATACGTGAATCTACACAGTTACACAGACATAATTGAATCCCCTCAAAGTTGACTACTTTTTCATTTCCTCTCGAAGCCATGGCGCACGAAAATCTGAGCACCGAAGAGATCGAAAGAGCATCCCAGCTTCGAAGTGCACAAGACAAGGCCGTTGCTCTCTTCGAGGAGATCGAACGCGATTTGATCCGGCCAGGAATCACCGAAAAGACTCTAAATGCAGAAATATATCAACTAGGGCTCGATCGCTATGGCATCAAGACCCACTGGCACAAACGAGTCATCCGCAGTGGACCAAACACCTTGAGCCCGTTTAGCGATAACCCTCCGGATCGTGTCATTCAGCCTGATGATATCCTTGTTATTGATCTGGGCCCAGTCTTTGAAGCTTGGGAAGCCGACTTTGGGCGCACTTTCGTCCTAGGAAATGACCCAAATAAGCAGAAGCTGCGGGATGCCCTCGAACCGATCTGGAATACAGTCAAGGCGAAATATAGCGAGAACCCAGATATGTCGGGAGACGATCTTTACAATATCGCATGCCAGGTTGCAAAACAAGAGGGCTGGGATTTCGGCGCGGATATTGCGGGCCATCTGGTTGGGTCGTTCCCTCATGAACGCATTCCGCGGGATAGAGTCTCCCTCTATATCGCCAAGGGCAATAATGACTCAATGGGCCTGCCAGGCCGTGACGGGTTCAAGCGTCATTGGATTCTGGAAATTCATCTTCATGATCGGGCACGCGGATTTGGTGGTTTCTACGAGCAACTTCTGACGGTCGATTAGACTTTAACGGTGGCCACATACTACGTCTCGCTGATTGCCTTTCTTTCGCGTATGCGATCTCCTTGGCGCGGCGAAAATAGTTCACCAAGGCCTTCTTCTAACACCTGAAAGAATTGAGCTCCTTGCTAAAACATCCAGACAATGCATTCGTGATGATTCTATGTACAATTTTAGGATATGCGAGATGCATATACATGCCTTTGCCTTTTTTTTAGCCCTCGGCCTCGTAGGCGTTCGACTTGTGCTTGGGCTCGAACTTGAAGGTGTCGGGTGCAGGGCCCAGGAACATTTCACTGTCGTATCGATGAATGGTTAGTCAATGAGTCTATAAAAAAACCGACAAGAGGAAACTTACGTGATCTTGATCCAGTCTTTGTAGTTGCCACTGCCCATGAGCGTCTCCAACTCATTCCGGCCGCGCCAAGCAGGAGGTCTGTCCTGAATGTTGGGAGGGAGGTATTCCAGCAGTCCGATTGGGACATAGCGATAGGCAAAGCTCAGCCATTCCAGCAGGAAGCGACGGGTTGTTCCAACACCATGCTCATCAGAACCCCAGGCCTGGAGACCGTACTTGGCAAACTTCTCGATATAAGCCAGACGCTCAGTCGCGGACTTGTCCAAATACTGGCCGGTCTGGATTTCCTCGAAGATCCATGGCTTGATCAAGGCTCCACGTGCCACCATCACAGAGTCCACACCAGCATTGTTAACGTGGTCGTCGTAGTCAACATGGGAGTAGCAGTCGCCGTTTCCAATGAAGTAGGTCTTGCCACCATTGGGCATGTGGCGGGCATCCGGTTCACGGATGGTGTCGCTGAGTGCATCCTGCTTCTTGTTCAGGCGCTTGATGAGAGCTGCACAGTCTGAGATGTATCCCCAGTCTGCCTGTCGAGTGTAGCGCTGCTGCCTACTACGTCCGTGCAGGGTAATGGCTGCGGCACCCGGAGGGCCGAGGTCCAGAACACTAGACTCATATCCACCGAGAACCATACGCTCGACCAGCTTCTGCGCGGTAGGCTGGTTGTCCTTGGTTCCCATGCGGATCTTTACGGTAATCGGAATCTCCTGCGAGACAGTGTTCATGCCGCGAATCATCTTCTCCAGTTTGGAGTGATGGTCAAGAAGAGCTGAACCAGCTCCATCACGGAATACGAGCTCAATAGGGCAACCGCAGTTCAAGTCAATAACGCGCAGGTTGGGCGTAAATTTCGATAACACCTCAGTGGCCTTGAGAGCTTGCCATGGCTTGTTAGCAGCAATTTGGGCACCGAACTTGCAGTCCTTGGAGTTATCATAGCCCTGAACAATATTGTCGCCTGGGATGACGGTTGGCGGTGCCATTTCCGACTCGTGCGCCTTCAACAGGGTCCATTCAGACTTTGAGCCTTGGATCAAAGGCATACTCATAGCCATCTCTGAGTATGTGAACTGCGCGCCCAGATCTGCACAGAGTCTTCGGAATGGCATGTTGCCTTGGGTTGTGAGAGGTGCCAGAACGGGTGTCTCCGGTCCGAAGTAAATGCGACGCTTCTCTGACGGCATGAAGGGAGGCTCAAGGAACTGAGCACGGTTCTCCTGCATGTCGATCTTCGCTTGCTCGTCCGGTTCAACAAGCTCACCCTTCTCGCGGGTGGTAGATCGCTGATGGATCGCCTTCTCCAATTCTGCAGACACTTGAATGGTCCATGTGGTGTAGGCATCGGCTCGAGGAGTCTCCTCGCGCTTTCTTGTAAGTGAAATTTTGTCTTCGTTGGAAATGATGTTCACAATTCCGTCTGGTGTCGCGTTGGCAATACGAGGACGAGCTTTCTCCATACGTTCAGCATCCTCCAGTAAGACCAATTCCTTCTTGCCGTCTTC